CCCTCTACCAGATTCCATCGAGAATAATTCGGTTGCAATTTGTTCTAGGTTATTTATTATTTTTACCAGACTAGTAGATGATACCCTGACATTTTTGCCTAGTGCTTGTCCCATGGGTGTTTTTCATGTAATCCAGTATTTTTCTAGTAAGATTGGGCATCTATACTTTCCATATATACCAAATTTGCCATACTTTTATTGGAAATAACCAAAAGATAAATACTTTTGTTGGAATGTATGTTTAAGCAGAGATTTGAATTTGATTAACAAATGGCAGACTTCCCACAATATAATATACTATGAATCTGGATACAATTCACTAGCAACAGGACTTATAAGGTATACCGGTAAATGTATTTTTATGTACAAAATTATTAACAAGTGGTTACCATAACAAGGGGCCATAATCCAGGATGTTACAGCCCGACATATGCTGATATCAAAAGATCTTTGGAATATAAACATATATTTTAAGTTTCATCAAAATTGGAAAGTATTGTGACCTTTAGAGGATCCACAACCTTGGTATTACATCTTTTTCACTATTTGCATAAAGTTCAGTCCGGTTTTCACTCTATTCAAACGTGTCCATAAGCTAAAAACATGATTTTTGGTACAATCAGGGGCCATAATCCAAGAAGGAACCGAGATCTTTTGGATATAAACATATATTTTAGGTTTCATCAAAATCGGATAAAAATTGTGACCTCTAGAGGTTCCACTACCTTAGTATTACACACTTTTACACTATTTCAATACACTACTTGCGTACTAGAAGCGGTCATTTTGTCGAGCAGTTTCAGTCTTATTTTCACGAAATTCAAACTCAATTGTCATTATGGTGATATATTATACTGGTTTAAAGATAGAGTGCCAGGCAACGAAACATACTCCCACAGCAGCTACATCGTTTAAGTAGTCGACAGGGGTTGTCGCATATTTATTCTTGTGTAGGCAATTGGGGGCATTTACAAGACAATTTCAAACAGACCAGATTATAATTTTCGTGGTTTGGGGGTTCATAAGGTTCTACAAACTGAAACAAGGGCCTTAACTCTGGAAGTACTTTACAGACATAGTTAAAATTCGACAGGAGTTTTTGTTTTACTAATTTAAACAAGCCAACAGTGAGGCTGATGTCCCCCGCCGAAATGCCAAAATAAATAGATGACACATATTAATTAATCGCAATTTTTTTTTTTCAAAAGTATCAAACAATCAAACTGATTATCAACTATACACTAAGTTTCATCACTCTCTATCAGATAGAATCAAAGTTATCTTGTCCCAAAGCATCGACCAATGAAATTGCTTAGCTCTGCTTAGCTTTATCTCGAAATGTAATTCACTGGACTCAGTCAAGACATTCACCTAATGAACATCTACATCAAGTTTAAACATTCTACTTCAATTAAAAGCAGTGTTGTTATGTCTTGACCAATCAATTAAATTGCTTATCGCTCCTTAGCCTAAGTAGAAAATTCTCACCATCGAACTTAGTCAAGGTAATGATATAATGAATCTATATTATCATGTCCCAAAGCATCAACCAATCATATGCTTATCTCTACTTACCCTAAGCAGAAAATGTTCACCTTCGAACTCCATCAAGGCATTGAACTAATAAACACCTACTTCAAGTTTGAACATTCTAGCTTAATTAGAGATTTATTGTGTCCCAAAAAGTGTGACGAACGGACAGACAGACAGACAGAAGGACAAACCCATTTTAATAGTCCCGGCTTTCTTCGAAAGGTGGGAGACAATAATGCATATAAATTTCATATAGAACGAATGATAACCTTTGTCATTGGAACGTTCACAAGGTTCAACAACGTAAAACAAGAGTCATAACTCCAGAAGTAATTGACGGAAATTGCTGGAATTCAATAGGCTTTTTTGTTTCACTAATTTAAATGATGCCTATAAATTTCATACAGTTCGGATGAAAAGTTTCGACATCTGAACATTCACAAGGATCAACAAAGTGAAACAAGGGCCATAACTCTAGAAATGATAATTGGAAATTGCTGAAATTCAAAAGGCTTCTTCTTTTCACTAAACCAAATGATGTATATAAATTTCATAAAGATTGGATGATCATTTTCATCATTCAAGCAATCACAAGGTTCAACCTTATTAAACAAGTGCGATAACTCTAGAAGTAATTATTGGAAATTGATGAAATTCAATAGGATTCTTTGTTTCACTAATTTAAATGATGTGTATGAATTTCATACAGATTGGATGATAACTGTAGTCGATGGAGCATTTACAATGTGCAACAAAGTGAAACAATTGGTGAAATTCAATAGGATTCTAGGTTTCACTAATTTAAATGATCTATATAACCATTAATGATAATTCTACCTTTATCAATTATTGATTACAAAAATAATTACCATATTATCTCTAATTAATTGTTTTATCAAACTACAATGTAATTGAAGTGAACTGAAAGCAACATTTGTGATCAGTTCACATACTGATTGGTCAGTTGAGAATGCTCTGGTCAACTGGGCATAAGCTTACATGTCTTGAACCAATGTTGTAAGAATTAGGCAATCAAAAATGTCTATGGATTTAAACCCAGATAGGGAGAATACAACTAAACTGAAGTTGATTGAGAGTAAAAAAAAACAAGAGCAATGCTATGGTTACAATATACGTGCTTTGATTGATATGGTACTTTTTAAAATAAACAAGCCAACAGTGAGGCTGATGTCCCCCGCCGAAATAGGAAAATAATTAGAGGACACATATAAATTTATCACAAATTATCTTTTACAAAGTATTGAACAATCAAACAGTATATCTTTACTTATAGTCTAACAATCAAAGTAGGAGAGTTATTGTTTTCCAAAGTCTCGACCAATCAAATTGCGTATCGCTCTGCTTACCCTGAGCAGAAAATGCTCATTATCAAACTTAGTCAAGGTATTACTGTAATGAAACTATACACCAAGTTTCATCAATCTCACTTAATTAGAACTAAAGTTATCGTGTCCCAAAGCATCAACCAATCAAATTGCTTATCTCTGCTTACCCTAAGCGGAAAATGCTCATCTTCGAACTCCATCAAGGCATTGACCTAATCAACACATACACCAAGTTTGAACATTCTAGCTCAATTAGGAAGAGAGTTATCGTGCCCCAAAGTATCAACCAATCAAATTGCTTATCTCTGCTTACCCTAAGCGGAAAATGCTCATCTTCGAACTCCATCAAGGCATTGACCTAATAAACACATACACCAAGTTTAAACATTCTAGCTCAATTAAAAGTTATCGTGTCCCAAAGCATCAACCAATCAAATTGCTTATCTCTGCTTACACTAAGCGGAAAATGCTCATCTTCGAACTCCATCAAGGCATTGACCTAATCAACACATACACCAAGTTTGAACATTCTAGCCCAATTAGGAAGAGAGTTATCGTGTCCCAAAGCATCAACCAATCAAATTGCTTATCTCTGCTTACCCTAAGCGGAAAATGCTCATCTTCGAACTCCATCAAGGCATTGACCTAATAAACACATACACCAAGTTTGAACGTTCTAGCTCAATTAGGAAGAGAGTTATTGTGTCCCAAAAAGTGTGACGGACAGACAGACGGACAGACGGACGGACGGACGGACAGACGGACAGACAGACGGACAGACAGACGGACAGACAGACGGACGAACCCATTTTAATAGTCCCCTGCTTTCTTCGAAAGGCGGGGGACAAAAAAATGAAATATGAAATGGCTGCAACGACTGTAATATGACATGAGGCAAAGAAGGGTAGGTGTCGGGCCTGTTTTGCCAAATTTTACATTCTAAACTGAAGTTGATTGAGAGTAAAAAAGATAGGTTGCCAGGCCACAAAACATACGCCCACATCAGCTAAATTGTCCGAGCACTCAACAAGAGTTGTCACATATTTTTACTTTTTTCGGTAATGAAAGATTTATAATACACTAAAATCTGATTAAGAGTAACAACTCATTAAGTATTTATCAAAAAACCATTAGAATTTGTTTGGCTTTTATAAAGTTCTCCCCTTACTAACGTTTAGTATACAAAGCATTTAATATCATGGATTTAGCTGTTCAAGTTATCAAAATTCATTGAAAATCAATATACTTGTTTGTCTCAAGACCTTAAAATCTGTGTATCAATCTGAAGACAAACAGATAATAACTTTAGCCTCTAGAGTGTCACAAGATTTTTCAAAGTGATCAAGGGCCATAACTTTATACACAGTGTTTAACGTCATGAGACAAAGAAGCCTATTGATTTTCAGCGATTTCCGATAATTACTGCCAAAGTTATGGCCCTTGATCACTTCAAAATATCTTGACTTTAGATTTATACACAGTGTTTAAGGTCATGAGACGAAGAATCCTATAGCAATTTCCGATAATTACTGCCAGAGTTATGGCCCTTGATCACTACAAAAAAATCTTGTTGACGCTGTAGAGGCTAAGGTTAATATTCGATTGACTTTAAATTTATAGGCAGTGTTTGAGGTCATGAGATGAAGAATCCTATTGATTTTCAACAATTTCCAATAAATTTAAAGTCAATCGAATATTAACCTTAGCCTCTACAGCGTCAACAAGATTTTTTTGTAGTGATCAAGGGCCATAACTCTGGCAGTAATTATCGGAAATTGCTATAGGATTCTTCGTCTCATGACCTTAAACACTGTGTATAAATCTAAAGTCAATCAGATATTAACTTTGGCCTCTAGAGCATCCACAAGATATTTTGAAGTGATCAAGGGCCATAACTTTGGCAGTAATTATCGGAAATCGCTGAAAATCAATAGGCTTCTTTGTCTCATGACCTTAAACACTGTGTATAAATTTAAAGTGAATCGGATATTAACTTTAGCCTCTAGAGCGTCCACAAGCAATTGTGTACGCCGGACCAACAGATGGACGGACAGGGGCGACGACAATATATGACCACATTTCAATGTGGGTGTATAAAAAATTAAATTAATAATGACTTACTTGCTTGTTTTGGTTCTATAGCAACTCTAACTATTGGTAGAGCATCAAAGTACATACTTGTAAATGCTGGACAATATATAGTAGATGATATTGTTGCTGATTTTAATATATGATCTTCTAAACCTCCTATACCTACAAACATACGATACTCTCAATACCGCTAACCTAGTCATTTGAAATTCTTGTCAAATATTACTGACTACTTTTTATCAACATCACTAGCACATAGTCAATAATTTGAGGTAACTATATATTATGACAACAGAATTAGTATTTTAAAGTTTTCATTAATTTTTTTATACTCTAGTGTCTAGATATTTTACTTTTAGTGATTCATACAGTTTACACATACAGTAGAATCTGTATCAAGCAGCCATTCAAGGGAATTTCATGGCTGACCGTTAAACAGGAGTTACCTCTTAAACACCACATAAGGTGAAAAATCTAAATTGCATGGACCTATAGCCAATAGTTACTATATCCACTTTACGGCAAGTTCACACCAATCTGATTAAAATTAATTTGGCTATTAACGTTTAAGTATCCGACATGCCAAAACGCTTTCAATTTTTCAATTACGACCTTAATCTGGTTGATTGGATGGTGACGTCACAGGAACTACACATAGTATATACATTATCTATACAATATATCACCGTCTGTACAATAGTATATACATTATCTATACAATATATCACTGTCTGTACAATATATCACTGTCTATACACACCACCAGTTGACAAGTGTGTATTGACTGTCCAATTAACATGTGACTGGCCCAATCATTATCACCGAATTATCGTCTTGCGTTGTTATAGATTAGACATTTGTGATTGGAATATTTTAGAGTGAATTTAAAATGCTGTATCATGCCGTAGATCCATTTAAGGTGCTTTTGTTGAAATAGACCACGTGGCAACTAGTAATTTGGATAACCCTATAATACTTGATATCCCAAACTATTCTCTATAAAGTACATTATTAGCTACATATAATAAAAATAATACACGTTTCTATACACAAAGAACAATTTTACCGGAACTCCATTTGAGATTCACAGCAAATATGGAATTTTCTGATGACTATTCATAACAATAGATCGCTCTCATTTCTCAGCCAATCAACGCCGGGAATCTTATTACCATGTACGGTTCCATGCATACTATGGGCGTAGTAACTGAGGTTAAATTATTGACGCGAAAATTGCATGGGATTCATGTACATGAATATCAAATATGTGTGATCATACGTGGAGTTCCTGATGCCGTTTGTGAGTGATTAAACTGTCAATGTAATTGTAAAATACCTTTATTATAAAGAAGTTAAACGATGTTAGACATATAACCTAATCTTATCACAACCATTTATCCATCGAATAATATATATTCAGATTTCATATCAAGTCAATTCAATGTTGCTTAAACGCCAATCAACAAATAATCAGCATTCTTAATCCCACATCGAGGTGTAAATTAATTTATGACCCCATGTCTGTGCAACTTTAGTTGGATTGATTAATGACAGATATTAACGACACTACACTTGCCATATTATTATTAATACATAAAGATAGTTAGATGACCCTTCTCAATCTGTTATTCAATTTAGATGGTTAACAACAAAATTTATTTGTACTATTAATTCTAATGTATATTGAGTTATTTTTTCTTATTTCATTTTACAGTCTATTTCAGAGTAATAAAGTCAAATCCACATGCAGAAAGAAAGGCGCCGTACGATGGCTACAGGAAACTGAGATACAGTTGGCTACTCTGATAACGAAACGTCATTTACAAATCATGTTTGACTTTTATGATACATTTTGCATGACCACAACTTTTTACTCATGTACTCTTTTACTTGAGGAAATTAGAACCACAATACTCTTCTGAGGGAAATGTATCTTGAATTGATTGGACTGCACACGATGGTAGAGACAATTTTAAAATTGCTGTTGTGAGAAGAGAGGGTGGCACATTATGAAAAAAATGCTAAATTGGATCTTAAATAAAAATAAATTACAAAACAAATTATTCCGTAGTCAATTGTTTTATTTAATTAGGGGATTAAGGAATCAGACAAGCATTAATGAATACACACGCCGGCTGTATATAGTTAATTAAGGCATAAACATTCTGAATATGCATTCGATCACTGTGACGTCACTGGCGTCTGAGGGGATTAAGAGTGTTTTCGATAATTGGCAAAGTTGTTTTTACGGGAGGTCACTTTTTGCGACTGAGTGAAGATAGCCGAATTAATTTTAATCAGATTGGTTTAAACTTGCCGTAAAGTGAATATAGTAACCATTGGCTATATGTACCGAAAAATAATGTCCATCTTATGTGCACTTTAATAAAATCTCAGTGTTTATTAGTGCTGACATCAAGTAAATTTTATGCTTGGATGCATTGGGAGCAAACATCAATACTTGCATTGGTAAATTTAGACATCAATGAAACTTGCTTGGAATGAAAATTCTTTGATTCAAATCTCTGATATGACTTCTGTAGTAAATGTGTCATTTTGTACCAACATTGATACTATTATCTACCATTGTGAAGTATTCGAGAATATTTATCCAATTTTGTGAAGAAAATCAATGAATTAATTTTATTTTATTGAAAAAACATGTCTTTCATTGCTGAATTTGTTATTGATTTTCAGGGGCTGTAACTCTGTAAGTAATATAGGAGGCTATAAAACTTCTGTTTAGCAACAAAGTAGATGTGGAAAATAGATACTAGATGATCGTGACAAAACTTGGCTTTGACGGTACTTTTAGTTTATTCAATCAGTATCAAATAAAGTTTTGTTTCGCATGAAAACAATGATCTGGGTTTGTCATTTAATAAAACAAAAGATTAATTAACAGATAATCCCTGGCTTATTGTTGTTTTCACAGTTCTTTTTACCTGATCAGTGGGGGGGGGGGGCGCAGATAATTAACTATTACTCACAGGAATAGCGGAGGTGCCATGAAGTACCACAAGAAAGTATCATTCAACAATGGACGCTGAATGGGCGTTGTTTTGTTAAATCCGCGTTAGAGGGGCGACCGTTTATTAAAGAGATGAAACAATAGAATATCTATCGGGGAGGATGGGGGCGGGGGTTGGTTGGATGTCGCTGAATGGGAGTGACTGCTTGTAAAAATTCTACTGTACTAATGTATTTAACTCCTCATATGGTGATCATTGAATAGCTATCTGTTGCAAAGAAGGAAAGAGAGGTCTTGATGATAATTCTATAAATCCCAATTTTTGATACCATGTGACATTGGGTTAATATTGGACATGAGAAGTCATCAGTTAACCTCCATATTCCCTTTGTGACCTCTATTCTGTCTTCTTTTTGGACTAGACTAATATGGACTACTAGCAATTTTTCATTTCTGACCAACTACAAAAACTGGTCACAATATACAATTTTCAAAACAACTAATATTGTTTGTGATAGTCTTGATAGTATCTTTGTTAGCTCAGCTGACAATAGATACAAGGTTTCAAACTAGTCCAGTTTTCAGTCCCCTAACCACTTTTATAATTGCAACTGGGCTTTAAGGTAATGAAGTTTACTACATGTAAATCTAATAAATTTCTAGTTACTAACCTGATACATTTCTAGTTACTAACCTTAAATATATTTCTTGTTATTCAACGAATATGTCTAATTACTAACCTAATATATTTCCAGCTGGTATTTCTTCCATTAACTCTAATTCTCTTCCCATAAATAGATATAAATTATTAACAGTAAATGATGTAATATGTTGATTAGATGATAGATCTTTCAGACTTAAAGCAGGATCAATCTATAAGAAAATACACATTTATCAAGTATGCATGACATTCAAGGTTCTTAATCCATTTTGAAATGAACCGGCCAGAATTGGGTCAAATGAGGTCCCATAGGAAATGGGTTAATTATAAGATTCCATTCCCTTTAATATAATTAGACTTCAACAAAAATAAATTACTGTCTTCGTTTATTTGATGAAACGTTTGCATTTCATAAGTCAATGATCTAAATATGAGCATTTTTCTACTATTTCCAGTATCAGAAAATGCTGTAAAATAAATAAGCTAATACAGCAACATGGCATTTCTTTATCAAAATTACTATTAAATGTGCTAATTAAGCTATTCGGATTATGAACCACATTGCTGATTCTCGCTATAGTATGACTGTTGCTGTAGCCGACAAGAAAGTTAATTGACTTCTTAATTAACAAGTAATAATTAACCCGTTGTAATTTAGCCGAAAGTAGACGGATTTATGATACCATAGTGGCTGGTTCTTTGTTTTACCAATCGGCCTGATTGAACTTCAAGCGGCAAACAACAGCCGATTAAGATCCCTGATGACATTACAGATTAAGGTTACAGAGAGAGAGAAGTGGTGTTTAAACAGGGCTATTTCCTATTTTATCTTTTATTAGTGCACAACCAAATCGCCATTTCAGTGTGGGCAACATGCCCAGATCATTTTGAGACTAATAATATATTTCTATGGACAGGTAATATGTGGTCTACCCTTTATGAAATTCTAACTATAAAGAGATATAAATGGGTTGACTTTTTAAATAACATTCGATCAACAAGACACATATCATAGCCAATCTCACAGCATTATTTCAATTCAAATGTCATTTCTAGCCATATGCTTAATGATTTTCATAAATTAATTGTTTAAGAGAAGTAAAGCCTGTTGATTTAGATACATACGTCATATGAAGCTGTAGCTGGATTATGTTTAGGACCTAATATATATAATGTTTGTCCACGTTTTATTGTACCACTATATATTCTAGCAAACGCTATAAAAACTTGGTCATCATCATTATGTTCTTCTTCTTGACCTGCAGTAATGTAACACACCTCTTTGATTTAGGTCAAAATAAAATATTGATAACAGATCAATTCTAGACTGGAGCTACCTACAATATCTTTTCTTTAAACAAAATGATGGTATTTTGTTAGGCTTGGTATACGATACAATTAAATCGAATTGGTATTTTGTCAGGTTTAGTAAACCATACAACTAATTCTAGTTGGTATTTCACAATAACCGGGAGAGGGGTTTATATAGGCTTTGCCTGTTCCCCAATCCCTTCAGTTTCTGAATAAATATTGTTTATAAAATAATAATGCCTGTATATTATGTACCTGTATCATTAACATCTTGTATAGGTGTACCATTTATACTTTCCTCGTCAAGTTTTAATTTACTCATTCTCTCAGCATGTCTTTGTACAGCTTTTTCTCTTCTGGCTTGAAGTTCCTCTTTTGTCAGTGGTCTGAAATATATTTAGAGAACTATGTCAAACAGTACAATTTGTGCATGACAGGCCACTTGTCTGCCGAGTATCATTGGTTGATTGGCAGATCATGGAATTCATAAACTCTCTATGTACATATATGTTACAAAGGAAAAACACTGTCACCCTTTTTACCCCTTTTAGATCATTTTGATAACAGTTTGAATTATGGTCAAGTCTGGACATAAGGCATCTATCTCAAAGTTATTCCACAATGTATGTTATAATATATATGTTTGTGTCTGGCAAAGTCTATGACATGTGCCTTGTGCCCAGGCTTGTTTATGGTGCACTATTATAGGGTCATTCCATGTCAAATGGGTCAATTTTCAGAAAATTGGGAAATTGACCCACTCGAAAAAATCTGGAAAATATATTTGTTATTTTACATGTAAAAACTAGAAACTATGCAAAATTTATGGTCCGTAGCTTGAAAATTGATTAGGATACGGGCATTTGAGTTTCATGAATTACCGATAAGTTTTCGAAACAAAATATGTATCAATAATTTACTCGAGTTTCAGATATCTTATTTTTACCTTTCTAGTGAAGATATACAGCTCAAATTTGGTAGAGTTAAAGAACTTTTTGTGTTGATTGGTAGGGTTCAGATGCTACTTGGCCATAAAAAACGAAAAATCCAGAAAATATACAATTATACCAATTTTTTTTTGATTTCATGGTCATGTAGCCAGGTCTGGACATAACGGTTTTAGATGTACCTGACAACAGCTGTGAGAGAAATTGTCTGGATATATAAGACGACCCCCCCCCCCCCAAAAAAAAAATATTCTGCTTCTCACACAATCCTGCCCAGAAAATTGATGCGGGCAATAATTCAGGAAGTTACTATCCAATTTGCATGAATATTGAAAGGAACCAAGATCCTTGGGTTATAAACATGTATTTCAAGTTTCATCAAAATCGGATCAAAATTGTGGCCTCTAGTGGGTCCACAACCTTGATATACCATATATTTACACTATTTGCGTACGAGGAGCGGCAATTTTGTCAGGCAGTTTTGGTTTGATTTTCACGAAATTCGAACTCAACCATCATTAGTGTGTAACGGTGATATATTAGTAAGGGAGCTAGGTTCAGGTTGTTTCGAAAATTTCTGCTCTGCTAGATGAGTGGACACTGGACAGCGGTGTCCGATACTCTGAACCTTGATTCTTAAATTGCAGGTCCTCTTCCCATGGGGGGGGGGGGAGATAAAACATTGAAATTTCGAGTTTAATTCGACTTTTGCGTACAACAATCAACTTTCGTGCATAAGTAGACCAACTTCAGATGTGGCCAAAAAGACTGCTTAAGAAGACCCCTGGACCCTTTCTTCCCCACTTAAGAACACTCCCTTTACCCCCCTGAGAGATGAGTTAATTCAATTTCCGCGTACAACATTAATTTTTTTCGTTAAAAGTTTCACTATTGGTTCGCTAGAACATAACACTAACTTAAGAATGCGACATCCCCTTCTATCCCAGATAAAAACAACAAAACGGGGGACGCATGGGTGAAATCACCAAAATAACGATTTAATTTGACTTTTGCATACTACGATCAACTTTCGTGCATACGTTGACCAACCTCAGATGTCATCAAAAACTGATTAAGAAAAAACACAACCATTTCTTCATCACTTAAGAACACCCTCTTTAAAACCTTTGAGATATGAGTTCTCTCTTCTTACGATTACATTAAGAAATGGGAGGCTGCTGTTGGTGTCATTCTCCATTGTGAACTTCATTCTTGGATGTTGGTTGTTCAAGTGATTCAGGGGGACGACAGTATCATCTTCTTTTTGTAACATGATGAATGTGTTATCCATCTTTCTGAACCAGAATATAGGTTGAAAAGGAGTGGTTAGAGTGACTTCTTCTGGTGACATCATGTAAATTTCGGAAATAAGCGGGGATAAAGAACTTCCCACCAGTAAACCATGGATCTGTCCATAATATTTTTTTCCCATGTGAAATATGTGGATTCCAGGGATTGCTTGATCAAAGGAATAATGGTATCAAATTGTAGTGATGTATCCAGTGGTGTAGAAAGTTGTCGAATACAGGTTTCAAGAATCTGAAATCAAGGCTTCTTCTCTTGGCACAGTGTGTAGGTTGACAACACTGTACGAGAGCAATTCATTGATATGGAGTCCTTAATGAAAATATCACTCTGTCTGGAAGATCTTGGAATATCATGAGTATAACGAATCCTACAGATTGTATTTTGGTGAAACAGAATGGATGTCAGGAGCTTTCAGGGTCCTCACTTAAATCAGCTCCCTTCTCCGAGAGCCGAGCTATATATAAAACTCATACTAACCCGTGAACTAATAGTGAAACGTTTAATGAACCAGCGGCTGCCAGGCAGGATACGCTCACATTTTGCAAGAGATGGGTAGAGAGCAAGCTGAAAACAAACCGGATTTTTTGTACAATCAGGGGCAATAATCCAGAAAGTTATGGTCTGAAATGCGCAAATATCAAAAGAAACTGAGATCTTTGGGATATAAAGATATGTTTTAAATTTCATCAGAATTGGATAACCAGCGGCTGCCAGGCAGTATACGCCCACATTTTCGAGAGATGGATAGAGAACAAGCTAACAAGAAAGTGATTTTTCCTACAATCAAGGGCCATAATACAGGAAATTACAATTCGATATGCGTGAATATCGAAAGGAACCGAGATCTTTGGGTTATAAACTTATATTTCAAGTTTCAACAAAATCGGATAAAAATTGTGACCTCTATAGTGTCCACAACCTTGATATACCATATTTTTACTCTATTTGAGAACGAACGGCGGCCATTTTGTCTGTCAATTTCGGGCTAATTTTCACGAAATTCGAACTCAGCCATCCTTAGGGTGTAACGGTGATATACTTGAACTGGTTTTAAATCGGATAAAAATTATGACCTCTATAGGGTCCACAAGCTAAAAACACGATTTTTGGTACAATCAGGGGCCATAATTCAGGAAGTTACGGTCCGATATGCGCGAATATCTAATGGAACCGAGATCTTTGGATTATCAACTTAGATTTCAAGTTTCAACAAAATCGGATAAAAATTGTGACCTCTATAGTGTCCACAAGCCAAAAACGTGATTTTTCGTACAAACAGGGGCCATAATCCATGAAGTTTCGATCCGATACATGCCAATATCGAAAGGAACCGAGATCTTTTGGAGATAAACCTATATTTCAAGTTTCGTCAAAATCGGATAAGAATTGTGACCTGTAGAGTGTCCACAAACAAATTGTGGACGGACGGACATCCGGACGGACAGGGGCGACGGCATAATACGTCCACATGAAAATGTGGGCGTATAAAAATTGTGACCTCTAGAGGGTCCACAACCTTCATATTGCATACTTTTACACAATTTGTGGACAAAGAGCGGCCATTATGTCAGGCAGTTTCATTTTGATTTTCCCGTAATTCGAATTCAACCCTCATTATGGTGGAATGGTGAAATATTTAAACAGCTTTTAAAATCGGAAAAGAAAAATGGTGACCTTTAGATAATCCGCAAGCTAAAAATGCGATTTTTCAAATAATCAGGAGCCATAATCCAGGAAGTTACGTTCGGATATACACGATTATCAAAAGGAACAAAGATCTTAGTGTGTTATGGTGATATATTCACGTTTTTTTTTTAAATCGGATACAAATCGTGACCTTGACGGTAAGCTAAAAACGTGATTTTTTGTACATTCAAGGGCCATAATTCAGTAAGTTACGATCCAATAGGCGCGAATATCGAAAGGAACCAAGACCTTTGGGTTATAAACATGTATTTCAACTCTCATCAAAATCGGATAAAAATTGTGACCTCTAGAAGGTCCACAAGCTTGATATACCAGATGCTATACACTATTTGCATACGAGGGGCGGCCATTTTGTCCGGCAGTTTTGGCATGATTTTCACAAAATTCGAATTCAATGAACATTACAGTGTAACAGGGATATATTCGAACGTTTTTTTAAATCGGACAATAATTATGACCTCTAGAGGAACAACAAACTAAAAACATGATTTTTCATATAATCAGTGGCTATAAATCAGGAAGTTACTATCTGATATGCCCGAATCTCGAAAGGAACCAAGATCTTTGGGTTATAAACATGCATTTCAAGTTTCATCAAAATCAGATCAAAATTGTGACCTCTGGAGGGTCCACAGCTACAGTTGTGTAGCTTGTATTCTCTGAAGAAGTAGGTTTTTAGACTTACGAAACGTTAGATACTATAAAAGATGGTTTTGTAATATACATGAAAATGTGGGCGTATAAAAATCAATTTTCCAGTGCCGTTCATCATTGTCAATAGTGTTTCCCATGGTTATGTATTTGATAGCTGACTCTTAGTGTTCAGTTCCTCTTTTCAAGAAATGTTTTAAAAGAGTTACTTCCCTTGATTGCGGGAAATATGAACATGCAGAAATGTTTAACTTTTATTTCTATTTGTCTTCCTGACGCAGCAGTATCTGAGAACCAAAATATTTTTTCTTGTGTGGCCTAATATAATGCCAATAGTTTACCTTTGTCTATTCTGTGGTAAGATTTTTCTATCAACAGGAAACATTTTAGATACAAAAACAATAACTGGAGAATCATCACCACAATTACAGGCTAGAAAATCTGAAAAAGTTAAAGCAATAATAGTAGATATACATGTATAGATATGTATATAATTTATTCTTCTTTACATCTGTTTGAGCACCTTGATCAGTAATACAGTGATCAGTGTTTTATTTCTTAAGCTAAATGCTGACAATGGGGCATTTTAACCGAACATCCATGAATGCATTGTTCTGATCAATTTGTTCACCGTCTGCGGGTTAAAGAAACATGAACGAAAATGTTTTGACAAAATGTTCGTGAAATCAAACATTTGGGTCGTCTGCGTTGAAGCCAAACATTCACAAAATATTTTTTTTCACGCAACACCATGCAGCGATCACATGCATATCACATGACATTCAAATATATGCCATTTTGAAATCATGTGATTTTATGTGGCGGTAGCAATGACGTATGTTAACATACGCCCACAGCAGCTAAATCGTCCGGGCAGTCAACAAGAGTTGTCACATATTTTTACTTTTTTCTGCAATGAAACATTTATAATACACTAAAATCTGATTAAGAGTAACAACTCATTATCAGAAAATCATTAGAATTTGCTTGGTTTTTATAAAGTTCTGCCCCATGCTAACATTTAGTACACGAAACATATAATATCATGGATTTTGCTGTTCAAGTTATCAAAATTCATTGAAAATCAATATACTTGTTTGTCTCAAGACCTTAAAATCTGTGTATCAATCTGAAGTCAATCGGATGATAACTTTAGCCTCAAGAGCGTCACAAGATTTTTCAAAGTGATCAAGGGCCATAACTTTGGCAGTAATTATCAGAAATCGTTGAAAATCAATAGGATTCTTCAGCTCATGACCATAAAAACTGTGTTAATATTTAAAGTAAATCGGATATTAACTTTAGCCTCTAGAGCATCCACAAGATATTTTGAAGTGATCAAGGGCCAATAACTCTGGCCGTAATTATCAGAAATTGCTGAAAATCAATAGACTTCTTCATCTCATGACCTAAACACTGTGTATAAATTTAAAGTCAATCGGATATTAAGGGCCAGAACTCTTGCAATAATTATTGGAAATCGCTGAAAATCAATAGGCTTCTTTGTCTCATGACCTTAAACACTGTGAATAACTTTAAAGTCAATCGGATATTAACTTTATGACCTCTAGAGCGCCCACAAGATTTTTTGAAGTGATCAAGGACCATAACTCTGGCAGTAATCAGAAATCACTGAAAATCAATATGCTTCTTCGTCTCATGACCGTAAACACTGTGTATAAATTTAACGTCAAACGGATATTAACTTTAGCCTCTAGAGCATCCACAAGCAATTGTGGACGCCGGACAGACAGGGGCGACGACAATATATGACCACATTTCAATGTTGGCGTATAAAAATGAACTTAATTATTTACTGTATCATTAATTAATATAGTCGAGATTATCATATTTTAAGTGTTGATTACGATATAATTCCCTAGAGTGATCAGCACCTGCAGAATGGTTCATGCGATAGCTTCATGACCTGTTTGTCAACAATGGCAATCACATGACATTCTTCCGCCACATCTAGAACTATATTATGAGTTATTATTTGTTGACACAAATTATGTCTAAATTTTTAAAGTAGCCTAGTATAGCATTTTCACGAAATAAGAACTCAACTATCATTAGTGTATAACTGTGATATACTAAAATGTTTTTTTCACATTGGATAAAAATTGTGACCTCTAGAGGGACCACAAGCTAAAAGCGTGATTTTTCGGACCATCAGGGGGCATTATCCATGAAGTTATGGTCCGATACATGCCAATATGGAAAGGAACCGAGATCTCTGGGCAATAGACCTATATTTCAAGTTTCGTCAAAATTGGATAAAAATTCTGACCTGTAGAGTGTGCACAAACAAATTGTGGATGGACAGACAGGGGCGACGACAATATACGTCCACATGAAAATGTGGGCATATAAAAACGAAGGCAAATAAATGCCGCAAAGTATTAAGATTTGGAAATTGGAATTATTTCACAATAAGTGATTGTGATCAAAGTAGGCCAAATGTAAGACTTGTGACTGTTCATACCAGTCTGGTATAAAGAGCTGGCAGTTCTCACTATAATAGATAATGTAAAGGGTATTTGCTGAAAATTTCAGTCAAATTGATCCACTCTGAACCGAGAATTTTCGGCCAAGCCTTGATCATCATTACTAAAGTCGATATGATAAAAATCATAGTCCCGATTATCCATTTTATGATTTAATCATAAATGAAAGTTGAGCAGCAAATCGGATCCTAATCCAGTAAATATCGCAGGCTAACGATGACATCGAGAGTTGATTATGGTCTGGATAAGTTAATTAATGTCTAATTAATAATTTAGATAACATTTCTGGCCTAAAGAAAGACCTGCAATAGGCAGTTTAGCTTTTGCATAATGCAGGTTTAAAGGATAAATATTCTTCCAGTACAAATACAATGCAGACTATACCCTTTCCCATGTATCTCTGTTTAAACCATGTAGGGAAACCTGCATAAAACTGATAAATCTAGTTGATAAATTTATGAAAACTGTTCTTAGCCTCTTACTCTCCATAAAACTGATAAATCTACACTGTAAACCGGGTCTCATTTAATCTTGTGTATCTAGCACTAATATTTGTTTAATATCAAATCTTTGTTTATAAATTCATAAAAATTATTTAAAATCACCCAAAATCATCTAATTTGTACTTGTGTGCAGCTTAAAGCTGACAGATTAATTTTTATAATGCATGTCCAAAGTATTTAATTTCCTGACCACTGTTCAAAAATTAATTGTTATACATCAATTATCAATTGGGTTGTTTATTTTTTTAACAGTGATTGGACACTCATTATCAAAATTGAATGGTCAGCTTTAAACTGGAAACAAGTACAAGTTGGATGATTTTTTGGTCATCTTAAACGATTTTTATGAATTTTTAAAAAAAGATTTGATATTAAATGAATGTGAAAGGATGCTAAATACACAAAATTAAATAATACCATTTGTTACAGTGAGTTGATAATTTTATGACAACTGTTCTTACCCTCCATACATATGAGGAGTAGACATGGATATTACTAACCTGATTTTAACGCCTGTGTTTCTTTGGGTAGAGAATCAAATCTTTGAGCCTGATTACACATGAGTTTTTCTGTTCTTTCTTCACTGATTTGTAATGGCGAAGGGAGAATATCACAAACAATAGCTGTAATAAATAAACAAGTAATAATATATAAACAACAAATCAGAGATGTAATATATAAACAACAAAACATAGATGTAATAAATAAACAACAAACAATAGTTGTAATAAATAACCTGCCTCAATCCCAAAATAAACAGATGACACATATTAATTTATTGCATATTTACCTTTTTATAAAGCATCTAGCATTCAAATCACTGATAAATGAGAGAGTGAGGAGAGAGAGAGAGAGAGAGAGAGAGAGAGAGAGAGAGGTTTAATGTCCAATCATACAATCTAGGTCATTTCTGGACTAACACATGGTTCAATTTTATTTCAATAATTTGCTTGCGCGTAGGGGTCTTTAGCAGTGGGAGGACCCAGAGAAAACCCATGAGCTTTGACAGGCGACCCTACTCCTTGTTACGTACAACCGGGGAATCAAAACCACGCCAGTTGACTCAATGACAGACCTTATGATACAGCGCGCACGTGTTAACCATTCAGCCATCCAACCCCCCTCAAATTAAGTATTGATTCCATATTCTAACTAAACTCATCACTGATCAATCTTTTGCGTATTCATATAATAATGTGACTATTATTATTGACTTACATAAAACAGCTTTTGAAATAGGTAACCACTGGCTAGTATGGGCCTGTAACTGTACTCGAGCATCATTATGACAAGCATCTCTAGGCGCTATTTTTAACGACAGAGTTTTTTGGATTTTTTCTATCATATCTTTATCTCTGTAAATGTATTTGATTGCATATATTTTTTTATTTGGATATATTTTCAGATAAAAATTCATTTTAAGGGGTAGAATAAATGGCATAATTAATTTTGGAGGTATAAAATTGTCAACACTATAAATCATATCTCAATATATTCTGTAGTGAGATATATAAAACTATCGAAAAGTACAGTATCTACGAATATTCTATCTTTATTAATTGAATACAGTTTAAGTAGATATTTTGTCATTTTTATTGAGATGGTTTTTCTGGTACTCCTTCACAGCTTAAGATGTTAAAACCAGAGGAAACCGGTGAGGTTGGACAGGAGACCATACTATACACCTTGTCACTTGTGTGATTGAACTACCAACACTGGACTCAAGACAAGCCTTATGATCAAAAGTGCATGCATTAAACACCCCCCACCCCCTAGATGAATAAGAAGCACCATCATAATACAAACCTTTTTATAAATATAGCATCATATACAGACCATATATTATCTAATACCAGCTGCACAAATAATGGTTTCTTTCCTTTAAACTAATAAATATAATAATCCAGAAAATGTAATATTTTAAGTCAGATTACTCACATACATCTCAAAAGTATATACTATACTATATAAATGTAAAGACATGTTATCATTATCTATGCACATCCAAGTATAAATGGGTCATTCCATGTCAAGTGGATCAAATTTCGGAAAGTTGGGAACATGAGCTCCTCCCAAAAATTTATAAACAAGCCAACAGTGAGGCTGATGTCCCCCGCCGAAATCCCAAAATAAATAGATGGCACATATTAATTAATTGCACATTTATTTTTTCAAAAGTATCAAGCAATCAAACTGATTATCAACTATACACTAAGTTTCATCACTCTCTATCAGATAGAATCAAAGTTATCTTGTCCCAAAGCATCGACCAATGAAATTGCTTAGCTCAGCTTAGCTTTAGCTCGAAATGTTAATCATTGAACTGAGTCAAGACATTCACCTAATGAACATCTACATCAAGTTTAAACATTCTACCTTAATTAAAAGTAGAGTTGTTAGAGAGGTGACTCATGTTTTCCTTTGGCGTTCGTCACTTCCGATTCAGAAAAACTGAATTAGCAATGATCTCTGAGATAAAATTATATTTGGAATGTGTTTAACCAGCTCTATCACATATATGTGATAATGACTGGCACCAATATTGTCCTTTAAAGTATAGTAATGTTGTTACACCATCACTGAACAACTGAAAACTGTTTTGGGGGCGTGCCCAACCCTCAGGGTCACAGCCACACCCATTTTTTCTTTGTGTTTCTGTGTGTTTTGCATACAGGTCGCAATTCTTAATGGATTGTCTTGAAAACTTTGCATATTTATTGCTTATACCCAAGGATGACTGTTATTATTCTGGTGCATGCACGACCCCCAGGGCCATAGCAACAGCAGATTTCTTGTTGTTACACTATCACTGAACAACTGAAAACTGTTTTTGGGGCGTGCCCAACCCTCAGGGTCACAGCCACACCCATTTTTTCTTTGTGTTTCTGTGTGTTTTGCATACAGGCCACAATTCTTAATGGATTGTCTTGAAAACTTTGCATATTTATTGCTTATACCCAAGGATGACTGTTATTATTCTGGTGCATGCACGACCCCCAGGGCCATAGCAACAGCAGATTTTGTGTTATCGTCCACAGACTGCAATCCTGACTTCCAAAGAACGGTGACTATTGATTTTGGTACATGCCCGACCCACAGGGGCAGTGTCACGTTCCAGGATGATCCATTCAGAATTGCAGCCCTTGGGCGATAAACAAAAACAAGAGCATCGCTAACGCTGCAATATATGTCCACATTCCTACTTTGATTGATATGGTACTTTTTAAAATGAAGAGAATGAAATATGAAATGGCTGTAATATGACAAGAATGTGTTGGGTTTGTTTTGCCAAATTTACAGAAAAAAATATTAACAAGTGGGTGTGACACTGCCCAAGAAGAAATAGTTCATGTCTTTATGGTATAAGGAATAAATATGCGAAGTTCCAAGATGATCCATTCAGAATTGCAGCCTGTCGACGATAAATACAAAAATTGGGCGTAGTTCTGCCCCTGGGGGTTGGATATGAAACAATATAAATAGGTACCACCCTGTTATTGAAATGATTGATATGCTGAACTTGAACAAAATCTGTTAATTATTGCAACCTGTAGAGAATTTAAAGATAAAAACGAACAAAAAAGTTGGTGTGATACCACATCCCTGGGGGTCCGGACATGCACCAAGGAATAAATATGCCAAGTTCCAAGATATCCTTTTAGAATTCCAGCCTGTAGACAAAAAACACAAAAATTGGGCGTGGCTCTGCCCCTGGGGGTTGGACATGGCCCAATATATATAGGTACAACCCTATGCTGGAACATTTCGAATTGGATCCAAATCTGTTAATAATTGCAACCTGCATATCATTCACAGACAAAATATCAACAAAGAGTGGGTGGGGAGCAGAATCAATAGTTGCCGTCCTCAAGTTTCAAGATGATCCATTCAGAATTGTGGCCTTCAGGCGCTAAAGGCAAAAATTGGGTGTGGCTCTGTCTCTGGGGGTCGGGACATCCACCAAAATCAATAGCTTCAGCCCTTAGGCTATAAGGAATACATATGCCAAGTACCAAGCTGATCCATTCAGAATTGCAGCCTGTAAATGATAAACACAAAAATTGGGCATGGCTCTGCCCCTGGGGGTTGGGCATTCACCACAAACAATAGGGATGTTCCTTAGGATTTAAGGAACAAGCCAACATTGAGGCTGATGTATCCCGTCGAAATCCCAAAATAAAGAGATGACACATATTAATTAATCACACATTTATTTTTTTCAAAAGTATTGAGCAATCAAACTATTCACTAAGTTTCATCACTTTCGATCAGATAGAATCAAGATTATCCTGTCCCTAAGCATTGACCAGTGAAATTGATTAGCTCTGCTTAGCTTCAGCTCGAAATGTTAAACATTGAACTTAGTCAAGACATTCATCTAATTAACATCTTACATCAAGTTTAAACATTCTACCTCAAGTAAAAGTAGAGTTATGTTCCAAAGTCTTGACCAATCAAATTGCTTATCGCTCCTTAGCCTAAGCAGAAAATTCTCACCATCGAACTAAGTCAAGGTAATGATATAATAAATCTATATTCAGAGTTTTATCATTCTCACTTCATTATAACCAAAGTTATCGTGCCCCTAAAGCATCAACCAATCAGATTGCTTATCTCTGCTTACAGTAAGCAGACAATGTTCATCATTGAACTCCATCAAGGCATTCACCTAATGATAGTAGGGGAGCTAGCTGACCGTTATTCCTAAACCTGCGGACAAAATTGGCACTATGCCTAACGGAGGCACCATCATGCCCGATGATCAGAATGGGAATTCTTAAGTTGCACATCCCCTGGGTTTAGGTTATTTTAAAATCAACGTGAAAAGTCAACAATTTTGATAATAGATATTAAAACTTCATCACCAAACAGATTTCAAGTGCCAATTAAAAATATAAGCCATTAAATACACAAGATGAACTTCAATGTATGTTATAGTAGGGTAAATGAAGTTTCATTATCAACCTTTTTCAGAATCGGTATTTTTTGTACGTTTTCAGTGTGCATTGAATTTCGTGACTGAATATTTGGAAAAGTATATATCCCATCGACTCAGAATCTTTTGCAAATTGATAAAAGACAAACTGACATTAACTATGCCAATTTTGGAGTTTGTGTATACAATAGTGACTTTGCCAGAGCGGAAATCCTGAAGATAAAAGTGAATAGTTCATTTGTTCCACATTTTGCCATGGTGGCGCGAAAAGTATACATTGGACATTGAGTGCGATGCTAAATCCGTAATCTACACCAACTGATGTCTTAGATTATAATTACACAATTAGAGAGTTCTACTCCTATGAGAAATGTGAGTTTAAAGTGCCTGGAAACCTGAAAAAAATGTATTTATGATCCGTTTCAGCACCCTAATTTCAAATTGCCATATCTCAGCGAGTTTTTGACCTAGAGAGGTAAAATTTCGGATTTGTTAGTTTAAGGCCATATACTAAAACATATATTGTTTATAATTTTTTGGGAGGGTTTTGGAACCATTGGTTCAGTTGATATGGAATGACCCAAATTTCATTTGTGAAAAAATTTGGCTGGTTACGAAATATGACAGTACATTAGATTCAAAATTCTAACATGTTATAATCTAATTTCTATTCATGTAATTTCTAACTTCTATTCATGTAAGACAGTGTATAATCCAACTTCTTTATTTGTTCAGTGTAAATTTTAATTCTATTTCATCTTATTTCTATTATTTAGACCAAAACGTCTTCTTCATTGACACTTAACACGTTTAGCATGAACATCAAACAAAATTAGAATTTTTACACACTTCTGCCTAGCAACCATCATTATGAAGTGGCTTGGTGTCCCCACTGCGTGCTCATTTGGTGAGAGAGATATGGGGTTTAACTCCACAAACTACATCATTTCGGGACTAAAGTATGGTTCAATTTTATCTCAATAATTCGCTTGCGCGTACGGGTCTTTAGCTGTGGGAGGGAACCGGAGAAAACCCACACGAGGTTTGACAGGCGACCCTTCTCCTTGTCACGTACAACTTGGGAATCAAAACCACGCCAGCTGACTCAAAGGCAGACCTTATGATACAGCCATCCAACCCCCTTATCAATTAGATCTAACCGATTGAGCATCTGGTCGGGACCATAATGTTGATGGTCTGGTTGAATGGCTGGACCGAGTGCTGAGAGAGAGAGAGAGAGAGAGAGAGAGAGAGAGAGAGAGAGAGAGAGGTTTAACTCTACTCAACACACAAACTAGGTCATTTCAGAACTAACAATGGTAATACGCCTGACAGCCCAATGCGTATTTGTGATTAGTATTGTAAATAAAGTATATTGTAATTGTATCAAAGTACATGAGCGTACCAAATAAAATAGACACCTGTACAAGGTTCTTTCCATGCCACAAGACTTTGGCATGAAATGGGAAGCCATTGACTGAAATTTATCTGACTTTCAATCTGCGATTTTGGATTACTTTTTCAGTTAAATATATTACTAGCGATTGTATTATAATACTCTGATATCGATCTCAATAGATGCAAATAATCTGACTCAAAAGTTATCAAAATTTAAGTGCAATTACTGTTTATGTACGGGAGACACTTGCGGGAAAATACCGCTCTGACGCCACGTTTCCGGGGATTTCCATTCACACGATTACAGCCATAGAAAACGGGATTTATCGGTTTTGCAGACTGAAATTTGCTACTTTCGACTAAATGCTTTTTATCTGATATTATCATGATTATAAATATTTTATATATTATCATTCAAATTATTACGATTTATATAAGTTTTAACTGGCTAATATTCACAAATTTGAGTTGTAAAATTTGTACGACCGATTCTTATTTATTATGATGTCACTCAGATGTGACTGAAAACACTTTTTGGAGTACCGTATTAAAGTCTTTTGAGTAGCATTTTATGTAAATTTTTTACAAAATATTTAAAAAATGTTTTTTCTGTCATTTAAATTATTGACCCGAAACCCAAAGGGAATTTTCATTTGTTCATTGTTGTATGCAGCAAAAATGAGTGCACAGTGTAAAATTTAAAAAGACATTTAGTATTAGCCTATGATCAATAAAAATGAAGTTATTTGATGAAAAAAAAAATCTCCTGGATTCTCCTGTTTTTTCATTGCTGGTCTCCTGTTTTTTCATACCTGGGGGTAGGGCTGTACGATATTGCAAATAGGGACGATATCGATATTGGCATTTTTTTTAACGATATAGTTGCTATTAAATAAATTAAATATAAATGCATTAAAGCTGACTACAGTGTGAGTAAGAATTGTGGGTAAGAATTGCTTTATTCATACACTTTAAACTTTGCTTTTTTCATAATATAGATTTATCAAAATGAACAAAACAACATCCTTTTTGGATAAAAATTAAATACAACCGCTGATGTTTAAAAAGCGTCTGCTTGTGGCCTAGTGTAAGAAAATTCTCAAATATCACGTGCAGCTGAAGTAAGTAGATGCGGTCTTCAAGTCTTCTATTGTAAGTTCAAACAGTTTAACAAATACTAAATGATCCGGACTATCTTCCATTCAAGCATTCAATTGGCTGCGGTATTTATAGATCGTTTTATTCTTGCTTTCAGAAATTAAGTTTCGTAGAGTTTTCTAAAAATATTTGTTTTTTAAAAATATGACAACCTATTTATAACCTGGTAATTAGCCGCGGTAGTGGGAAATTTCAGGTGTTTAGTAGGCCTAAGCCTTACATGTAGTAACAACTGACAATTTATTGTCGACTAAAAACAAAGTAAAACTAACGATGCAGTGCGCAAGTGTTTTCAACATTTAACGATTCTCAAAACATTAGTTTTATTATAGTTTATTGCCGTCGACTAATTTCCACTAATGTATAGTGTATTTATTATCTATTTTTATGATAATTCTTTTCGATATTTGAAGTTTATGGCGATATTCGATAAACCACTATATCAACGATTTTTGGCAACATGATATCGTAGTTGGGTCTGAAAATACCATATCGCGATAAATGACTATATCAAGAATATCATACAGCCCTACCTGGGGGTTGACATGTCTGGATACTGGTGTTCTTGATGAAATTAAACCAAAATGGAATGGGGTTTATCATCCTACCTTTCTATACCAACTGGGCTAATGAAGACGGACTTACGCCATACAGTGTGCCATGGGGGATATTTATTACGAATTACAGCTGCCATGGGTTTTCGTTCGATCCAAAAAAACTAGACATTGCCCATGCCTACAATAATGGCAGCCTCCGCAAATCACAGGGACGGAACTAATAATGTCAGAAATATTGAAAAGCTTAGTTTTGCCAGTGTGTATACTAGTTGACGATGTTATTTAATTACCATATAAATATATTTCTATGATATAACCGGCTTAGTTCTCACTCCCTTGTCATTGATACAGAATGGGGGTCTATATTTGAAATAATATTTGCAAACCATATCACGTTCGATGTTGTTTTCAATTTCAACACTCCGCCAAACCATTCAATCTGACGAAGAGCGAGTCATTTGTATCAACATAATGGTCACGATGAGGTTCTCATGCAATTGCCAAATTGAGCACACGGTGGCAACACCTTATGATGTCATAATGATGGTTTCTAAGTAGAAGTATCAAAATTATAAATTTGTTCGATGTTCATGCTTAACATGTAAGCGACAATAAAGTACCACACGTAGATATTTTTCGTCTTAATAATAGAAATAAGATGAAACACAATTAAAATTTTCACTGAGCAAATAATTAAGTTGGATTATAAATACATTGTCTTCATTTAGAAATTACATGAATAGAAGTTAGAAATTACATGAATAGAAATTAGACGATAGCATGTTAGAATTTTGAATATAATATACCGCCATAAGGAAATGAAATGAAATGGGGTTTAACATCCTACTGTTCTGCTCCGACTGGGCTAATGAAGACGGCGGGTTGGCTAGAGAGAAAAATCTATATCTTAAATTTTTTCTGATTTTTTTTAGGCCTTTAATAAGTAAAACTCTTGCTATAAGGTTAACTATGATAATACTTTAACAATGTTTGCTTTAAGACAATTCTCAACATCTCCAAAAACAACTGCAAGTCACTAAAAAAAAATGAAAGCTCTTATGAAGAAAAAACCTGTTACAGTAAAACTTACTTGTGCACCTTTCTGTATAGATTTCGTCTTCATATTGACATAATAATCACCCCAAATGGTCTTAGTTAAAACATTTTTACTAAAACCTAGTTTTTTACTGTACATTTCAGCAAAATGTGATATACTGAAAACAAAAAATATTTTTTATTTTATTAAAACATGAGCATTAGCAACAACGTAAATTTGTAAAACAAATTTCATTATAAATTGAAATTAAAATAATGTTACAATAAATTGGGTTACTTTGAATTCTCATCTTTATTTATAAATAACATACCCCTCTTTATTATACCTTTGTATCTATGGAAAGACCTGATATAGGCGTCAAGCCTGTTGCTCAATCCTATTCGTTTGTGAATAAAATATTGTTTAAATCAAAAATCTTTATTTATCTAATGTAATGAAATAGTCCAATGTAATATACTTACGTAAAACCCCAGCTATCTAGAGCACTGGCAAAGATAACATTTCCTCTATCAGGTGAAAAAAATATATTCTTATCTTCTTCTTCATCTTCTAATTTTGTCCAATCATATGACTAGAAAACAACAAGCGGTTGCCATGCAAGATACACCCACATTTTGCAAGAGATGGACAGAGAACAAGCCAAAACAGCGATTTTTCATACGCTCAGGGGCCATAATACAAGATGTTACAATCAAACATGCGGCAATATCAAAAGGAACCAATATCTTTGGGATATAAACATATATCTTAAGTTTCATTAAAATCTAGTAAAAATTCTGACCTCTAGACAGCCTACAATCTAAAAACGTGATTTTTTGTACAATCAGGGACCATAATCCAGGACTTTGGGGTCCGATATGCACGAATATAGAAAGAAACCGAGATCTTTTGGTTATAAACATATATTTTAAGTTTCAACAAAATCTGATCAAAATCGTGACTACTAGAGCGTCCAAAACCCTGGTATTAGATACTTTCACAGTATTTGCGTACAAGGAGCAGGTATTATGTTGGGTAGTTTCAAACTCAACCATTATTAGGGTGTAATGGTGATAAATTTAAATGGTTTTTAAAATTGGATAAAAAATTGTGACTTCTAGAGGGTCTACAGGCTAAAAACACGATTTTTCAAACAATCAGGGACCCAAATCCAGAAAGTTACGTTCCAATAGGCGTGAATATCGAAAGTAATCGTGATCTTTGGGATATAAACATATATTTTAAGTTTCATCAAAATCGGTTCAAAATTGTGACCTCTATCTTGATATTCCATACTTTTACACTATTTGCGAACAAGGAGCAGCCATTTTGTTGGCCAGTATCGGTCCAAATTTCATGAAGTTCACACTAGTCCGTCATTATGGTATAACAGTGATATATTCGGACAATTTTTTAAATCAGATAAAAATTGTGACCTCCTAGAGGGACCACAAGCTAAAAACGTGATTTTTTGTACAATCAGGGGCCATCATGGTTTTTATAGTTATTTGTATTTATGACGTTCTGTGAAATCTGGGACTGCTCTGTTATTAAGATTAGATTTGTGATGTTAACAATGAAAGAATGGTTACAAAGAATAATAGGATTACCTGAGCATCTCCACTTATGGACTCTGACCACTCATCTGCAACCTTATAATTAAACCAAACAAAATAAAACATTATTATCAAAATTGGATGAATTACTTACTCTTACTGATCACTCAAGTGAACAACATTGACATGATAGAGATCAGTTCCTAGGGAGAGAAATGGGGTTTAACATTTACTCAAAACAAATTAGTTCAGTTTAGGACAATCGTGTATGTTTATTTCAATAATTTTCATGTCCAATGGGACGTTAAATAAACCAAATAAATGAAATGAAATGAAATAAAATTGGGTATAACGTCCTACTATTCTGCTCCACACTGGGTTAATGAAGATGGGCACACGCCATACAGTGTGCTATGAGGGAAATTTTGCCCCGACAGCGGCACTACGGCCTACTCTTACATAGAATTCCAACTGTCGAGGACTCTCTTACGTGCACGCCAATGTTTACACAGGGTCTCGGTTTTTCATCCCATCTGAACAACTAGACAGCTGTCCTTGTCAGGCCCTCCATCCTGCATCACTGACAAGGGGAAACCATGTCAGAAAATCTGGATGAACTTTCTCAGCCAATGTAGGGATCGAACATCCGACCTCCAGGCTAGCGAGCCAGCATTTTACCCACCTAACAACAGTGACCGCCCGTAAACAAATAAAAAAAACCTAGAGCAAAACACATGAGGTAAGACAGGCTAGACTATTTTTGTCATGTACAAACCAGAGATCTAACCTTTGATGCAGTACAACAGATCGTGGGAACTAGAGCATAAATGTCAAACCACTCAGCCAGTCTATGTGGAAAACAAATGAACCAAAAAAAATATAACTTACAGCTGATGTTTTCCCCATAGCTTCTGATGTATATAGTTCATTTGTTAATAAATTCACCTACAAAAATTGATATATAATAACTATTTAGTTATAAACATGGACAGACCAACATCTCAAGTCATTCTATTTAAACAACAAACACATTCTCTTTAAAAAAAAAACCTAAGATATTCCGATGATTTGCAATGGACTGACAAATGTTCAAACCATATAAATTTGTTTCTAGTGAGAGTATTTTATTTAGCTGTGATATCACCTCTATGAAAGCGGACATTAAAAAAATCCTATTTCACACAAGTATGTTATGTCTTGTGCCAATTGGAATTCAAACTTGTAACTCAGGTAAGAAATATGTTCGACCAATCTGTGTATTAAATTACTGATGTGTGATTACAGTTCAGTCTACTATGGGCAGCAGGTCACAATTCTATTGAATACATGTATATGTACATGTATGTAATAATCTTACGTTCTTGATGCGATGCAGGGATGCCGATATAGTACCCAAGGGCCTAATTAAATCAGATTACCTTTAGGTACACGTAATTAAGGGAGATCCCTGGTTTGTCAGCATTAACTAACCATTGTTGTGTACATGTATATACTGTCCTGTCATATTTTCATTTTTTATCATAGCTTGATAATGACCAAAGAAGCCTAGTCGAAACGTCGCTCAGTAAAAAGCAGTAATTGTATTCCATAGAATTGTGACCTGTACACTCTAGTTCAATTACTAAATGCCACTGAAACAGTTTTACTATGGGCAGCGTTTATATATTACATGTTAGAATTTAATACCTGTTCCAATATCTGTTGCAGATGAATATAAGCTTCTGTTGAAGAGAATTTTAATTCTGTGATTAAACGATCTATCTTATTAAGGACTAGCACTGGTTTTATATTTTCTAACCAAGCCTGACGTAGAACAGCATGGGTCTGGGGAACAAAACAAAATTGAAGAAATACATTTATTAATTGCAGAAAACCTTTAATAAAATATGTAATCTAGCTAATAGAACTCCTTGAGAGTATGACATCATCAGTTTAGAGGTATGGACAGTTTTAGATGCACTTTCCTTTGTTGATTGGCAAATCTTCAGACACATACCACTGCAATCCTTTAATGTTAGCTCACTGACAATACATCATTACTGTTTCAGATTAAAACTACGAAAAGACAGAATTTATCTCTATATTAATTTGTGTCTGTTAATAATTAATCAGATTGACATTCCGTTGCAAGTTGGCTGGTTCAAAATCGAAAAAAAAACATTGGTGGTGCATCCTGGATTTAAGTAGTGTACTGTTCCACTATCATATTATTCTGAGCATGATGAACAAACATCAACTGATTCATAACAAAACACAAGGCATTTTGAATGTGCTTGTACTATAATGCTCCCTAATTCAAGTCAGATATATGTAAAATTAATTTCCTATTAAATCTAAACTTATTGATAATTTATATAAATATTTTTCATTAATAGCACATTTTAAAAAAAATTCAACAATAACCTGATGGCCAATAAGAAAGAAGCTTCTTCACATTCATGACATAAATGATAATTTAATCCATTTACAGTACCTGTGGACAAACGCCTTCAACTACATCTACCATTAACAAAGCTCCATCACACAGTCTAACAGCAGTTGATACCTCACTAGAGAAATCAACATGTCCTGGGGAATCTATCAAATTGATCAAGTAATCTTTATCATCTAGTAAAATATATATAAAAAGACATCTCATTACTGTTAATACACTTTAAAAGAGAAGTACAAAATTTAAAAAAACCGTATGCCTTCAATTTTTCATTGATAATATGTTTTGTAGCCTATAGTATTTGAATAAAATTTTTGATTGCCACAATATGACAATGAAATTTATCACCCAATAATACATTCTACAGTAGGTATTGCTTGTGTGATAAATTTCATAATCTACTGCGATATCTATATTGCTTTACATGAATTTGATTGGTCAGTTGAAAAAGAACTACTTTTTTTTTATTTTCAAAGAATAGTTCATTTTTTATTAAAAGTAACTTCTTTTTTTTTATTAAAAAAGAACTATTTTTATTTAAATGACCTTGATGGGAATACTGGGTCAATATAAAGGACTTTGCAATGGCTGAATTGCTGTCAAAAAATGATGTATCACTACGCCATAATGTAATCAGGTTCAGTAAAAGTTAAATCTATAGCAAAGAATTATATTTATTTATACTGCATGTAAGAAATGATTGGATGATAAATAAAATGTCTTAATCGTCTTTTTTGATATCAAAAAAGACTCGTAGGAGATTCTCTATATATTTTACAATATCTTACATGTGCATATTGAAGTCTTACATGGTAATAGAGTTCAATGTCTTTGAAAGCCCTGATTGGGCAAGACCGTGATTCATTTTTATGCAAGGTCAAATGAGAATGACACATTTGAATTTCAAAATGGAGTCTTGAGAAAAAGCTGATTTATTTCTTGGGAATTAGTTAGTTATGTATAAATAAGTTAAAACTAGGTGATGGCATTTACATATCTGTGAAAACAATGTGGGATACCAGTACTGGTCATGTTATGAATAACCAGATGTGATGAGGTCATGATAATTCATCGAAATCTATCGTTTATTACCATTTCAGGCGATCAAACTTTCTAGAATTGTCATTTGGAAACTTCTAGAAATCATAGAAACTTCTGGAAACAGTGTTAAGAAACGATTGTACGGTTCTGGAGGGTTCTAGAAATGGTTGGAAACTTCTAGAATTTCCTAGCCAGCGGCTGCCAGGTAGGATACGCCCATATTTTTCAAGAGATGGAAAGAGAACAAGCTAAAAAAAAAGTGATAATGCGTAACATAAAGGGCCATAATTCAGGAAGGTACAGGAACCAAGATCTTTGGTGACCTATAGAGGGTCCACAACCTTGATATACCAGATGTTCACACTATTTTGTCTGGCAGTTTTCATCCGATATTAACAAAATTCGAACTCAACCAACATTACGGTGAAACGGTGATATATTTCAACGTTTTTGTAAATCAGATAATAATTGTGACCTCTAGAAGGACCACAAGCTAAAAACAGGATTTTTCGTACAATCAGGGGCCATAATTCAGGCAGTTACGATCCGAATCCGATATGCGCAAATATCGACAGCAACCAAGATCTTTGGGTTAGAAGCATGCATTTCAAGTTTCATCAAAATCGGATCAAAATTGTGAGCTCTAAAGGGTCCACAACCTTGATATACCAGATGAAAATGTGGGCATATAAAAATTGTGACCAGCAGAGTGTCCACAAACAATTGTGGACAGACGTCCGGACGGACAGGGGCGACGACAATATACGTCCACATGAAAATGTGGGCGTTTAAAAACTATATAAGCTGGACCAGATCAGTCCTAGGGCAGAATTTTCTAAGCACTTCGTACACAACTCGGTGTTTGTTGTAAGTTTCTATTTGACCCACATGGTCTGTGTTCTTGATTTATTGCCATTTCGTGCTGTTGCACTGATTGTGTTGTTTTGGGAGAAATCATCTCTCTGATTTTTTCATTGTGCTGTTTTAAAAGACTTGATCTCTCTGTTGTTATCTTGTTTTAAATTTACTGTTGTGGATTATTACCATATTGGATTATTTTGATTCAAAGATTATTCATCTTGTCAGTTTTCAAGATCCTATGTAACTCTGCCAACTTGGGAATTACTACGGAGATGCTGAGAAGACATCTGTAAAGGACTGTCTACAAACTACTTTTTCACAGCAATAGAAGCACCGAGGGCAAAGAAGATTTCAACCGAATACTTGTACTTATAATCATTTGTCCCAATACCATTTTATCATTTGTATATATTATTAAATTGGTTGTTGCGTAGATTTGTCTGATCGAGGTATTGGATGGTTCATCAATCTGTAAACTACAATCGATAATCGCAGATTGTAAGAATTGGGGGGTGTCCGGGACCTCACCAAAAAGCTAACCAAGATCAGACACATTGTCATTTTGAGAAAGTTTTTTGATTAGTTTGAACTAAATTCTGATTCAGTAGATAGCGAAATGGCAGGCGAAGGTAAATTTGACCCCACAGGAAAATGAAGGAAATAGGGTTTAATGATTAATGTCCTACTGTTCTGCTCCGACTGGGATAATAAAGACGGGTGTACACCATGCAGTGTGCTATGAAGGAAATGTTGCCCTGACAGTGGAGCTACGGCCTACTTTTATTCCTTCCTAATTCCAACTGCCTAAGGATAGGACATCGGTTTTTCGTCCCATCCGAACGACTAGGTAGCTGTCCTTGTTAGGCTGTCTTTGGTCATGTGAACCTAGTAAAATCAGAGTCTGAAGAGGATGAATCAAAGCCGGGAGGTCTCACCTAGCCAGTTGCCTTGGAAATAGAAAAGTTGAAAGTTGAATTAGAAAGGGCGGGAATTGAAGCTGATTTTAGCAGAATGAAAATAGAGGAAAAAAGATGGGGAAGGGAAATAAAAGAAAAAAGACGGGAAAGGGAAACAGAAGAAAAAAGACGGGAAAGGGAAATAGAGGGAGAAAGACGAGAAAGAGAAATAGAGGAAAAAAGACACGGAATAGAAATAGAGGAAAAGGATCAGAGGAAAAATAATGGGAAATGGAAATAGAGGAAAAAATACGAGAAAGGGAAATAGAGGAAAAAACAAAGACTCGGAAAAGTAAAATGGCCCACGGGCTGATGATAAAGAGATTAGAATTGGAAATGACCATTAGAGATAGTTTGAATTGAGTGTCGCCCTTCACTGCATGCTAAAATTCAATGAGCATGATGTGGAAAGTTTCTTCCTGAACTTTGAGAAAGTGGCCAAACGCTTGGAATGGCCGAGCGAATTTTGGACAATTCTAATTCAGAGAAATTTACTGGGCCAAGCCCAGCATGTTTTCGCAGAAATTACATGGAAGATGCGAACCTCAAAAAGTTCTGTGATGTCTGACACGAGTCACACCAGATGTTGAATTCGCTCATTCGCTCGAGAAAACATACTAGCAGCTGCCAGGCAGGATACGCCCACATTTTGCAAGAGATGGATAGAGAACAAACTAAAAAACAAAAACGATTTTTTGTACAATCAGGGGACATAATCCAGAAAGTTATGGTCTGAAATATGCAAACATCAAAAGGAACTGGTATTTTTGGAATATAAAGATATGTTTTAAGTTTCATCAGAATCAGACAAAAACTGTGACCTCTAGAGGCTTGACAACCTTCGTATTGCATACTTTTACACAATTTGCGTACAAAGAGCGGCCATTTTGTTGGGCAGTTTCATTTCAATTTTCCCGAAATTCGAATTCAACCTTCATTATGGTGGAATGGTGAAATATTTAAACGGTTTTTAAAATCGGGAAAAAAAATTGTGACCTCTAGAGAATCCGCAAGCTAAAAATGCCATTTTTCGAACAATCAGGGGCCATAATCCAGGAAGTTAAGTTGGGGTATCTGCGATTATCAAAAATATCCATGATCTTAGTGTGTAATGGTGATATATTCACATATTTTTTATAAATCAGATAAAAATTGTGACCTCTACAAGGACCACAAGCTAAAAATGCGATTTTTCGTACAATCAAGGGCCATAATTCAGGAAGTTACTATCCGATATCAGAAACTGATGCTGCTGATATTGATGAATATTGATCATAAGCTTCCTGATTGAACAACATGAACATGCAATAATAATAAATGTCCAGTTCTTGAGCGCCAAATCACCCATAAGCATGCTCAAAGTGCTTTTAAGAGCAATAAGCTATATACATGTCTATTCAATTTAGTCTACATAAGATATTTTGAACAAATGAGTTCTTAATTGGATTTTGCTGTCGCAAATAACTTGAGATCTTTTAAACATACTATTATGCATTGTTTTGTTGTGACTTTTTTTCTAGAATTATCTCGCTGTTGGTCTTGTTAATAAATACAATATTAACAATATTTTTGGTCTTATTTTGTACATTGCCTTTAGGGGGATGTCAATTACTATATATACTCTCTTCACCTACATGTAGCCTTGTTTTGCCTGTCAATCTTAGACACGAGCAATAACCAGTGGTTGATCGAACATTCTTCAATCTATTTATGTTGGTTTGCCATGCCAAAACTTATTTTGCAAAATGATGAGAAATTTAATTTTTGTATAGAGGCCTAATGTAATGATGGCCTGATCGAAATGATAGTTTGGTGACTCACAGGTTCATTTGATCCCTCTCCTAGCCCATGGGCCAGCCACAAAAACTTGTTTTACTCAGCTTAGAGTTAGTCAAATTTAGTGTAGCATCAAGAAATTACTCAGTTAATTTTTCTCCAATATTCAGATTCAAGCTAGTAAAAAAGCCATTGAAATATGAATGGATTTTTAGCTGAGTGAAAAAAAAAAAAAGTAAAATAAATAATGTTTTATAGCTCTGAGCCATATTTATGTCCCAGGCCTTCCCCAACAATTATTGAAAACTGCATGATTATCTTATCGGTGAGTGTGCACATAGATAATACCGTAATGACCAGTGATGGGATTTTACCTGTATATTCCGGACTTGTCCGAATCTTTTTTCGAAACGCCCAAAATTGTCCGACCGGGAATATGCCCAATCGGACATCAAGACATGGTGAATAATATTCAAATTCCAAAATTAATATAGTGTACTGAGTGTATAACTACCGTGCAACCCGATTATCGTTGATAATAGGCTGGATTGATTAGGTAATTAAGTGATCGACTATTTATCGTGTTATATCGTCTTACACACCTACCTTGATTAACTACTATTCTGCCTTGATTGGCTGAACTAATTCTTTATCGGACAATTCATCAAATCAATCCTGAACAGAAGTCATTGCTTCTCCTTTGTCGGACGATATATCAATCCAATAAGAGTGATTAGAAACTTAATCTGATTAACCCGTGATTTTTCCATTGACCATTGTCTCACGTTTTAATCTCCTTTGTGTCGGACAATAACACGTAGAAATTAGTCATATATGTCACATATCCTGATAGTATATAACACCTCAAATCAACATACATTGTTTCCGATAACTTGGCTGTGATATATTTTCTGTGGTAGCAAAAGTTAAATAAAGATATTTCACACACATGGCGCTTATAGAGTTCAGTAATTAAAATGAAAGTACAAATCTCGCAAGACACGTGAAATTAAGAGATGTATACGTGCTGAATCCAATACGCCTGATGTTCGAGAAAAGATTCTATTTTGATAGCATATTGTCGGATTTATGATCATATTTTGAAGGGGGTTTATGTCTTTAAATAAATAAATAAATAAACACGCTAAGAAATGTTCACGAATATTTCGATTGGAATGACGTAAGTAGTTAATTGTTTTAGACAATAGCGCGTGCTACAGTCGAATGCAATTATTTAGAAGTTAGTTACACTCGCTCATTAGGGCGTCGTTAACTACGGTTTACAGAAAATAAAAATTTCGGGATGTCATTTTTTTACCTTCCGTATATAAATCTAAACGGAGTATCAGACGAATGTCGGACTTTGCTGAAAAATGTACCGACGTATGACCCGAAAAATACGGTAATTTTGGGGGAGTTTGAAACAGATCGGCAGCAGTCGGCATGCTGCCAATTCTATAGTATTACGATGTCATGTAATTTTGTAGGAATATTATTGACATAAATTTGAATACCGTACGGGTTTTAAACATGAAATATAACGAGGTGCACCTATTTTTTTTTTACATATGAATTTGAATATATTTTGTTGACACATCATTCTTAATTGTGTTTTGAAAACGTCTACTTAAATTACGGTAAGAGTTATGCCCCTTTATTTTCGGGAAAAAATGTCCGACATGAAATTTTTTGAAATCCCATCACTGGTAATGACGCTGTTTGCACTGAGTTTGAAGCTCAAATTCAACGTTTCTACGGTTTCATGTGTGTCTGATTATCCTGAATCCATTTCTTACCAATCCTTGTTGAAACACCGTTTCCACAAAGCCTAAAATGGCAATAACCAGCCGTAAAGCGTAATTATTTTAGTTAAACCAATCACATGCTACAATTCAATGAGTTTCATTAGTCAATTACTTGAACCTGTAGCAACTTTGTGTTGTGGCGAGAAAAAAATATAATTCTTATTCAGATAATGTTATAAATATTATACACACTTTCAGCGACATGTGAAGTGGGTTAGTTAACATCATTTTTTGCTGTATCTTATCAATTTAAAATCCTCTGCTGGCAATATAAACTTAAATGTTAAAAAATCAATTTGCTTACATTTTCGCATGAAAAAAGCAGTGAAAGATAATTATAAGATATTATCTGAAAAATGCAAATGATGATCAGCTGGTTTCTTTATCAACTAAAGTAGAATCTGCATTAAGCAGCCACCCAAGGGAATTTTCACAACTGACCGCTTAACGGGAGTGGCCTCTTAATAAAATCTTGTTGCTTTTTGTGCTGACATAAATTAAATATTACGCTTGGATGCTGAATCTTGCGCCGAACGAAAATTCTTTACTCAAATCTCGGACATAACTTAACGGGAGTGGCCTCTTAATAAAATCTTGGTGCTTTTTGTGCCGACATAAATTAAATATTACGCTTGAATGCATTGGAAGCGGTAAATTTGACCGTCGCTGAATCTTGCGCCGAATGAAAATTCTTTACTCAAATCTCGGACATAACTTCTGTAAACTTGTCATTTTGTACCAACCTTCGATACTACTGTGATGCATTCGATAATATTTATCCATTTTTGTGAAGAAAATCGATGAATTCATTTTATTTTATCAAAAAAGCACATGAACAAACAAACATTGCTAATTTTATCACCTATTTACAGGGGGTGTAACTCTGTATGTAACATTATAGGAGGCGCTAAGAGAGATACTAGATGATCGTGACAAAACTCGGTACTTTTATTTTATTCAATCAGTATCAAATAATGTGTCGTTACGCGTGAAAACAATGATCAGGTTAGTCGTTTAATAAAACAAAAGATTAATTAACAGATAATCCAGGGTTGATTGTTTTTTTTACATTTCTTTTTACCTGATCAGTGGGGGTCCAGTTAATTAACTACTACTCACGGGATTAGCGGGGGTGTTACAAAGAACGACAAGATGGTATCATTCAACAATGGCCGTTGAATGGGCGATGTTTTGTTGAATTTATTAGTAAAATAGTGACCGCTGGCCGCGTTAGAGGAGTGACCGTTTAATAAAGAGATGAAACAACAGAATTTCTACGGGGGGAATTTATCGTGACCGCTTACAAGGAGATGTCGCTGAATATGAGTGGCTGCTCATACAGATTCTACTACTGTAGTGATAACTAACTCTTTGTTATTGATCAAGCTGCCGTCTTTATTAGCCCAGAAGGAGCTGAACAGTTAAACTTCATTTCATTTCATTTCGTTGTCACAGAACTGAAAATAGATTGTTTTATCAATTGGCTTATTCAACAACTGTCGCCAAAATAAAATATATTATTACCGTTGTTATAAAGAAGAGAGATAGCACTAGATTTCATTGTTATTCCTCTTATTTGTTCATCTTCTCTACTGTCCATATATCTCATCTGTAAAATATATATAGTCAATCAGTAATTTAAATTAATAATTCATATCATAATACATTTTATTGACTTTTCTCATTTAGGCCAAAATACATGTTTAATTTTTGTATGGTATATCTGACAATGCTGAACAGAGATGGGCTAGGGATCTCACACAAAAATTCTGACAGTCATCTATTTGTGTTCAAATCTTACCAACCTCAGAAAATATGACAATTTTTTTCTGTTTAAATTCTTGGAATGTCTAAGTCATTTGATTTTGGTCTTCTGCACCGAAAAGTTAAAATAATTTTTAACATATAATGTCATAATTTATATTGAAATAAATGCTTTTAATTCAAAAATGCGAACAGGGAGGCTGATGTCCCCTGCCCATATCCCCAAATAAATAGATCACACATATTAATTAATTGCATATATATATATTTTTCAAAAGTATCTAGCAATCAAACACAAACTGATTACCTATACTTAGTCTAAGCATAAAATATTCTAGATCAAACTCAGTCAAGGTTTTGAAGTACCTGGTAGCGAAACTATACACTAAGTTTCATCACTCTCCATTAGTTAGAATCAAAGTTATCTTGTCTCAAACCATTGACAAAAAAAATTGCTTGGCTCTGCTTAGCTTTAGCGGGAAATGTTAATCATTGTTTTCAATCAAGGCATTCACCTAATGAACACCTACATCAGGTTTAAACATTCTAAACTCAATTAAAAGATGAGTTGTTATGTTCCAAAGTCTTGACCAATCAAATTCTCATCATCGAGCTTAGTCAAGGTATTGATGTAACAAATCTATACTCAGAGTTTCATCGCTCCCACCCGATTAATTCCAAAGTTATCGTGTTCCAAAGCCTCAACCAATGAAATTGCTTATCTCAACATAGCCTTATTGGAAAATGTGCATGATCGAACCCCGTCAAGGCATTCTCCTCATAGACACCATGTTTCCAAAGTCTTGACCAATCAGACTGAAGTCTCTACTTTGACTTAGTCGAAAATGCTCATTATTGAACATAGTCAAGGCACCGATGTAATGAAACTCTACACCATACTCTCACTTAATTAGAACCAAAGTTGTCGTACCGATGTGATGAAACTCTACACCATACGCTCACTTAATTAGAACCAAAGTTATCCTGTTCTAAAGCATCAACCAATTAAATTGCTTATCTCTGCTTACCCTAAGCAGAAAATGGTCATCTTTGAACTCCATCAAGGCATTCACCGAATGAATGCCTACACCAAGTTTGAACATTCTACCTCAATTAGATGGAGAGATATTGTGTTCCAAAGTCACAATCAATCAAATTGTTCTCGGTCTGCTTACCCTGAGCAGAAAATGCTCATTATCGAACTTAGTCAAGGTATTGATGTCTCATCACCCTCACTTAATTAGAACTAAATTTATCCTGTCCCAAAGCATCAACCAATCAAATTGCTTATCTCTGCTTACCCTAAGCAGAAAATCGAACTCCATCAAGGTATTCACCTAATAAACATCTACACCAAGTTTGAACATTCTAGCTTAATTAGAAGGAGAGTTATTGTGTCCAAAAATGTGTGACGGAACGAACAGACAGACATTTTAATAGTCCCCCGCTTTTTTCGAACAATAAAGTATGAACCATTAAAATATTCACCGAACAGTTTCATTTGTCGTAGTGTGTAGTGACAATTTTTATATACGTTACCCACGTAAAATCTCAAGTAACCGTTGGATTGTTCAAAACCATAAAATTATGTAGTAAGGTTCCACTGTTATTTCAATGTGGATTAGTTAATCATATGTTAAGCTGTGTGCATTCCTTTTTTGGGCCAGACCAACTGGAAATCTAGGGTGTTAGACCAATAATGAAAGAAGGCCTTAGAGTCATCCACTACTGTGGCTGAAGTCAAGCTGGAAGATGTCAGTTGTAGAACCATTTCTACTTAGTTACATGTTTAGAATAAAATCAATTACACTACCTGGGCCCGGTTCCAAGAAAATTCTTAAAGTAAGCACAAAGTCATGCTTCACTTTTTCTTACGTAAGAAACTTATAAAAATACCGTCCCTAGAAAATTCTCAAGACCATTCTTACGAAAGCACAAGTCAAGTATAAGTCTAAGCACACTGTGAGTGGTAAAGTTTACCATAAACTGAGACTACGATGCTCTTTAATGTCACAAAAACAACTTTGGTATGCGAATTACGTCTTAAATTTGCCGTCTGCTTCATTCACGTCATATATATATATATGGTTCATTTCGATACATTTGACATGTCCCCTATTCACATATAAAATGTGCCATAAGATAAAAAAAACGCAGACAAATACAAACTAACTGAATAATTATGAGAGCGCCTGATCTTAAAGTAGCCTTTGTGTTTGTAGCCTATTGTTTACTAATTGGCAAATAAATAAAATGGTTTCAGGGTAGGCCTAGAAGCGAAATTTTCTATAGCATTCTTAATTTGAAATTTCTTCTGGAGAAGGATTTTCTCTGTCTTGTAATTGTCTCTTTGGTATCAAAAGGTGTCGGAAATGCTGTAGAATAACTCTACGGTCAGCCATCTTTTTGAAGCAGAAACAAGCTTAAGGTTGGTAAGCAAGCAGTATACCTTGCTTGGGACTTGTGCTTAGATTGACTATGTTTAAGAACGAAGTTGTGCTTAAGTTTTTTCTTGGAACGCATCATAACGTTCTTGTACTTACAATGAAGTCTACTTAAAATCTAAGCACAAGAACGTTCTTAAGAATTTTCTGGGAACACAAAATAAGGTAAGTTTACTTAAATGTAAAGTCTACTTAAATCTAAGCACAAGAACGTGCTTAAGAATTTTCTAGGAATCGCGCCCTGTACTTGTCTTGGGCACCCTAAATAAAAATACATTATGACTAATATACCTTTCCAGCCATTCTCTGGGATATAATTCCATTGCTAGCAACCAGGGCATCAGCCAATGTTGTCTTTCCTGTTGGTAACAAAATAAATTTCACAAGGCAAGCTAATCATATTTCAAAAGACTATAAGCATTAAAAGTAAATGTGTATTAAATACATAATTAGGATATAAATCCTTTTTTCCCCAAAACAGAAAACCAGGCCCTGTTTTCAAGAAAGAAGCAATGTAAATGATGCATTACAATAAACGATTCTGGAAAGCGCTAATAATGGTTCAAATCAAATATTGAGAAATAATTTTAAATACGGTAGGAGAAAAACATATCATTATTTCTACTTTATATACTATGCTTCAACATTCAGATCTCAAAGATAATTTGGATTGGTTTGTTTAATATAAAGCTTTCAAAGGCGCATTTGGAAAAGGCAGAAACTTAATGGCCATTAAATCACAGGAGGTTAAATGGAATGTCGACACTGTGGCTTTCGACACAGTTACATTCCAAAGCCTTCTTATTGACAATGCCATATTCGGGATTGGGGATTAGATAATACAGCAAACGATTGGCTTACCAATGGGAACTGATCCCGCCCCATTCATGGCCAATGCACATTTATAGTCTAGTCAAAATACTGAAAGACCCACCACAAATTCTTTTAGAAGGTTTTTTGGTACCAACTTGTAGATGACCTTTCCCTGCACATCATACTGAAAATCCACCTAGGGTTTTGGAAGTTACAGACGTGACAATTCACCATTCAAAATGCAATATGAATTCCCCCAAAAAGCTTCACTTGGAAGCAAATATCGATGACATCATGGGTTTATAATATCACACTTTTCTCCCTCTCGGGAAACTATGTGTGTTTGATACCCGCATTGACTGAGAAAGTTCACCAGAATTTTCCGGCGTGATTCCCCCTTGTCAGTGGTGCAGGAAAGAGGGCCTTGGAAAATGTATATTCGATCGAATCGGACTTAATCCTTGGCAGTTAGAATTCGATAAAAGAGTAGACCGTAGCGCCGCTGCCTGGGCACAATTTCCCTCATTAGACACAATATAGAGTATGCCTGTCTTTGTTAGCCCAGTTGGATGTTAAACCCCATTTAATTTTAACTCAAAGAAATATGTTTTAATGTAATTAACATAAGAAATGAAAGATATTGCCCTCCACCAAGACAAAAATCAACGAATATAATTTATATAACATTGACACGCCACCCGCTTTTGCACTACAGCTACAACCACTACCACCAGCGCAACGGACAACACCTTGGTCACCGCCATACTCAAAGCAAATAAAATTAAATGAATATAATTAATCCTCATCTTATGTATAAACAAGCTAAAAGTAAGGCTGCTGTTCCCTGCCGAAATACGAAAAAAAACCAAACCAGATGTCACATATTAATTAATTGCACATTTATCTTTTTCAAACGTATCGAATAATCAAACTGATTATCTATGCTTAGTCTAAGCATAAAATGTTCACTATCAAACTCGGGTTTTGAAGTGCCTGGTAGTGAGTGAAACTATACACTAACTTTCATCACTCTCCATCAGTTAGAATCAAAGTTATTTTGTACCAAAGCATCGACCAAAGAAATTGCTTAGCTCTGCTTAGCTTTAATGGGAAATATTAATCATTGAACTGTATAAATATTGTAGAACTTTTTCTCTTGAAATTAATGGTGGCATTATATTTCATTAATTAATATCTTTGGCAAGTTAGTAGATTCACATATACTATTCAAAAAAAGTAGGGGATATTTGATTTTTAAATGTTATTAAAGTCACCTAATGAAACTGACGAAGAAACAAATGACAAAATGAAATGAAGTTCACATTCATCGATTTATTCCAAATGATCGTTAGACTAAGTAAGGCACAGACTGACCATTATAAGGGTAAAATGATATCCGGGGTCAAACAGCCAAGTTACCACAGCATCACAACCAAGTCAGTAACGGGTAAATCCTCCTCTGTTTGCCAAACAAGCATTGATCCGACGTGGCATACTCCTAATCCTCCTAACGCAGCAGCAAGTTCTTGGACATTGGCAAGACGTTGTTGACGTTGACGTAACCTCTGTCCAAGCATGTCCCAGACATGCTCGATGGGGGAGAGGTCGGGACTCAGTGCTGGCCAAGGTAATGTGGTGATGTTCTGTTGTTGGAGGTAACCTGTAACGATCCTGGCCCTGTGACATCTTGCGTTGTCATCCTGGAAGATGAAACGGCGGCCATGACGTCGTGCGAACGGCACAACATGGACTGCCAAGATGTTGTCCCGGTAGTACTGGCCTGTAACACGCCCTGCAACAACATGTAAAGCCGTTCTTCCAGCAACAGTGATGCCTCCCCACACCATAACAGAACCACTCCCAAATCGATCATGTCTGATGATGTTAACGTCTTGGAAGCGCTCGTTTCGACGACGCCACACCCTCCTACGTCTGTCCAAAAAATCAACAGTGAACCTTGACTCATCTGAAAACATCACATTGCTCCAGCGTCGATTATCCCAGTGTTGACGATCCCTACACCAACGACGTCTTGCCTGAATGTGATGATCTCTCAAACAAGGGATCACGCGAGGACGTTGGGCGCGAAGGTGACCCCTATGCAGTCGATTCAGAATCGTCTGGCCACTCACTCTCACACCAGTGTCTGTTTGAAGACGAGCGCTGATCTGATTTGCAGTGATGACACGATTTCTCAAGGCCAAGGTACGGATAAATCGATCCTGGGCTTGAGTTGTCGCCCTTGGTCGACCTGAGCGTGGTCTGTCCTGTACAGATTGTGTATCACAGTATCTGGACCATAGCCTGCTTATGACAGACTGAGAAACATTCATCGTCCGCGCCACAACCGCCTGTGTTGTGCCGATCTGTAGCATGCCAAGGGCACATAACCTTTCATTTTGGGTAAGCCGACGCATATCAAAATTTGTTTTCTGGTCACTAAAACAATTAAACTGATGTTTCCACCCTGGAATTCGATGCCACAATGACTGTAACATTCAAAGTCAGAGTCGTGCAAATCTTGGGTTGGACCCCAATGATGATCCCAAGCATCACCTGCATTCCATGCGGTAGCTATTGGTGCGTTTGGGCGTCACATGTAACTGGAAATGTTTCTTCTGTCAGGTTCTATAGTGACTTTTTTCGTAGTCATTTGCATATTTTAGTATTATGCCCCCAAAATCAAATATCCCCTACTTTTTTTGAATAGTATATATGTAGTATATCAACTTATAAGTTGATGTACTACATATATGTGAATCTACTAACTAATTCACTAATTAGTGAATGAATGACAGATGATTACATAAAAAAGAGTTATAAGTTGGTAAATTTCTATCAGCAGACTCGCCAAACAAGTCTGTCTGGATGACATTTGAGAGAATGACTTTATTCTATTATACATTGTACCATATGTAAGTAGCTATGATATATAAAATGTAAAAACGAACTGTTGCATTGTTATTCCTGGAAAGACAAACGTCTTAAGAAAAGAGTAAGAAGTAAATACACAACATGAAGCAGAAGCAAAGACAGCTAGAGACAAATTCTAGACGATTACAAGGCTACTAAGATATGTAGTAAGAAAAGATGCATGGGCCATACATAGGATGTGGTGACCGGTTTGTTCAACGTCCGCTCTCCACGTCGGACAGAAGACCCATGGTGCTACAGAACTCAGTCAAGATATTCGCCTAATGAACATCTATACCTCAATTAAAAGCAGAATTGTAATGTTCCAAAGTCTTGACCAATCAAATTGCTTATCGCTACTTCGGCTAAGCAGAAAATTCTCATTATTGAATTTAGTCCATGTATTGATATAATGAATCTATACCTCAATTAAAAGCAGAATTGTAATGTTCCAAAGTCTTGACCAATCAAATTGCTTATCGCTACTTCGTCTAAGCAGAAAATTCTCATTATTGAATTTAGTCGATGTATTGATATAATGAATCTATACTAAGGGTTTCATCGCTCTCACCCAATTAAAACCAAAGTTTCATGTTCCAAAGTCTCAACCAATCAAATTGCTTATCTCTGCTTAGCCTTAGTGGAAAATACGCATGAACAAACTATGTCAAGGCATTCACGTAATAGACACCTACACTAATTTTGAACATTCTACCTCAATTAGAAGGAGAGTTATTGTGTTCCAAAGTCTCGACCAATCAGATTGAAGTCTCTACTTTGCCTAAGCAGAAAATGCTCAGTATCGAACCTTGTTAAGGTATTGATGTAATAAAACTATACACGAAGTTTCACCACTATCACTCAATTGAATCAAAGATGTCGAGCACCAAAGTCTCAATCAATCAAATTGCTTACCCTAAGCAGAAAATGCTCATCTTTGACCTCCATCAAGGCATTGACCCAATAAACAACGACACCAAGTTTGAACATTCTAGCTCAATTAGAAGGGGAGTTATTGTGTCCCAAAAGTGTGACGGATGGATGGACAGAGAGACAGACAGACGAACCCATTTTAATAGTCCCCTGCTTTCTTCGAAGGGCGGGAGACAAATAAATATTGTAGAGACCTCCGTTCTCAGACAAAACATCTACATCCAACTATTAACTTGGAAAACATACTTTTTCCTATGCTGGACCTTTTCTATGGAATAAACAACCAAAGTCAATTATTGTCAGTGGGCCATTTACAACTCAAAACATTTGAGGAAGAGAGAGAAAGAGATAAATGGGATTTTACACCCACTGGACACTTACAACTATAATTCGCTTGCACATTTAGCTTTGGGAGGAACCAGTGGATCAGGAGAAAAGCCACGAGGTTAGACGGCGACCCTATTCCTTTTCACGTACAAGCAGGGAATCGAAACCAAGTCACTTGGCTCAGTCTCAGAACTTATGATCTAAAGTGCACATGTTAACCAACTGAAGTTCCATCACTCTCACCCAATTGAAACCAAAGTTATTGTGTTCCAAAGTCTCAACTAATCAAATTGCTTATCTCTGCTTAGCTTTAGTGGAAAATGTGCACGATTGAAACGTCAAAGCATCAACCAATCCAATTGAATATCTCTGCTTACCCTAAGCAGAAAATGCTCATTATCGAACTCCATCAAGGCATGGACTTAATAAACACCTACACCAAGTTTGAAGATTCTAGCTCAATTAGAAGGAAAGTTATTTTGTCCTAAAAAGTGTGACGGACGGACAGAGATAAACATTTTATTAGTTCCTTGCTGTCTAGGAAAGGCGTGGGTCAAAAGGGAATATGTTGAAAATTTCAATCAAATTACTTCATTCTGAGAGGAGTTATCGTCGCTTACACAATCAAGAGTGCACATTCCCTTTAGTATCGAGTATAAAAACAACATGACACTCTTTTTTTCTGGATTTGTTAGGTTTTTTTTGGTTTTTTTTCATTCTGAGTGAAGTCTCTACAGGCCTGGGACTGTACAGCGCAGTGTCCCTTACGGCTAACCCCTGGATCCATTCATTTGATTCGATATGAGTTTGTGAAATGAAATGGGGCTTAACATCCTACTGTTGTGCTCCGACTGGGCTAATGAAGACAGACTTATGCCATACAATGTGGTATGAGCATAATTTTGCCCGGACAGCGGAGCTACAGCCTATGACTAGACAGCTATACTTGTCAGGCCCTCCGTCCTGCACCACTGACCAGGGGAAACCACGCCGGAAATCCTGATGAACTTTCTCCGCCAACATCTGCGACCTCCAGGCTAGCAAGCCAGTGTCTTACTCACTTAGCCACTGTGGCCCCCTTGTGCATTTGTTGTTTGTGGTGTTTGTATATTGTGTCTTGTCCGTAGGTTTGTCTTGTTTAATTGTTTGTGAGCGTCTCACAGTCCCCCGAAACTTTCTATTAACTGTAATATTTCTGAAAATATGATCAGCTATATACTTGCAAAAATGCTACTATCGATATGTAGAAGAAAATGAAGTTTCAAAATTTCTTTTAAAAAAAAAGTATGTGTTCCAAAACAATCTGTACATCGAGTTGAACATATGGTTTAAACTATTTCAATACTAGATAAAAGTATAAAATAACTGAAACAGGTATAGTTTTCCTTTAAAAGAGCGTATAAAAGATAATTGATAAATATTTTATGCTTGAAATAGTTATTCTATTAAGATGATAATGCTGATGGGATACAGGAGGCATACTGAGTAAGCTACATACCATGGTCTACATGAGCTAGTATACAGATGTTGCGCACATTGGGTAGGGTCTGCTGTAAACTGGATACTTGTTGTGGTGTGTTTCGCTTCATATTATAGCACTGAAAAAATAATGGCATATTTTCTTGAACCAAAAACTCATTTGCTTACACATGTTGAGAACATTCTTCACTCCTTGGGCAGATTGCAATACGCGCGTATCAAACCGATGTGCAGATTGTCAACTTTGTGCTGATTACTCCTCGATATTTTTAAAGATGAAAGTAGTGTGTTGGAAGTCCCATGTAGGATCAGTCCTCTATCGACTTTGTACTGTAAATAATTTTTCAAATAAATTTCAAAATCACTGCATAATTAGCATGTGTGCTAAGAATAAGATCTTCGCTATTTAAATACGTCCACTGATCACATGACTGAATGTTCAAGGGTATTTACCATAAACTTCAGTGTTATTTTTGTATAGTTGAAATAAATAGATCTATAACAAACAGTTGACAGATTTTTAAATTTTTTATCAAAGTGCACATAGCTTACGTGTTTCTGAATTCTGATTAAGTGGACATAATTAAATCCTCAGATTCGTGTATGCCTATGTGTGGGCCCAATTTTTTCAAATTGCTGTCGGGCTGCAGCAAAAATTTGTTAGTTCCCACTAAAATAAATTATTGTAAGCAACTCCACATAAATATACCCTTTTAAAGATTTTGATTAAATTGGTTGTACATGCTGTCCTGCTCGTACCTGTACCAGTAAACTGACGATCATAAAATTCATTAAATCGAATAATACTAACGCGGTGATCGATTGTGAATACTGAGGATTAAGCGGATTTTCATCGTTCGTTCATGCTTGTGTTGGGTTTTACATCCTGTTCCACCTCGTAACCATTTTAAAAGGCCATCAGCTTAGCTTGGATCATCGATGTTTAGGGCTCGTGTTCGAAAGGAAGTCAATGGACCCAGTCAATATGAAAGGCCATGGTGACCTCCAGTAATCAACGCTAAACTTGACCATGACTTTGACTCCAAACTTCCCATCGATCTCAGAGCCTTTGCGTTTATGCTTGCCATAGCCCTATTTCTTGCTGTATTATCAAGGTTAATGCTCGAGTTGAAAGCAGAGAAAACGCCCTTCAGAAACGATAATTGGGCCAAAGTCGTGGGTCAGGATCATGTTACAGAAAACTGAACACGAACTGTTCAAAGTCAGTTTTGGGATATTTGACCTTCACCCCGTAACCATTTTAAAAGGCCATCATCAGCTTAGCTTGGATCATTGACATTTAGGGCTCGTGTTCAAAAGGAAGTCAATGGGCCCGGTCAATATGAAAGATCGTGGTGACCTCCAGTAATCAACGCTAACCAAACTTGACCTTGACTTTGACTCCAAACTTCCCATCGATCTCGGGGGCCTTTGCGTTTATGCTTGCCATGGCCCTATTTCTCGCTGTATTATCAAGGTTAATGCTTATGGTGAAAGCAGAGACGACGACCTTCAGAAGCGATACTTGGGCCAAAGTTGTGGGTCAAGGTCATGTTACAGAAAACTGAACTCAAGCATTTCAAAGTCAGTTTTTGGACATTTGACATTGACTTACGCCCTTCAACTCATACAAAATTTTAAGGGCCATCATCTTGGCTTGGACCACCGACCTTTTACTGGATCATTTCACACACTTCTTGGTCAGAAAACTGTCAAACGCAGAGAGACCGGGTTTGAAGAGAAGTCAATGGATGTGGTCAATATGAAAGGTCATGCTGACCTCGACTTTGACCTTGAGTCCGAACTTTCCATCAATATCGGGGTCTTTGCGTTTATGCATGCCATGGCCATTTTTCTTGCTGTATTATCAAGGTCAGTGTTCGAGGTGAAGGCAGAGACGATGCCCTCCAGGGTCAAAGTCGTGGGTCATGGTTGTGTTACAGAAAACTGAACTCAAACTTTTCAAAGTCAGTGTTTAGACATTTGACTTTGACTTATGGCCTTCACCCCATACAAAATTTGAAAGGCCACTACCTTGGCTAGGACCGACCCTTACGTGGGTAATTTCACACACTGCTTGGTCAGAAAATGGTGAAACGCAGAGTGCCCGTGTTTAGATTATTAAAATAGTTATGTAGGTGTATACAATCCAATATGGTGCAATAGAATTAACACTACAGTCAAGCAGATTTACACATTTTAAACAATTTTATCCTCACCGAAATGAGGGTTTGGGGTAATATTTATTATTAACACAAATACGCAATACTTATATTATTGTACATGTATAGCCATTCCACTATAAATTACATTTATCACTTATGTGGAAGCAGACGTTAAACACCAAGAACTACTACTACATGTGTATTAACAGGTGTCAAACAGCATTTACTTAATATTCTAAGGAGGGGTGGGAAATTTATAATATTTACATAGCATCACACTAATTTACAAAAACTTCTTTTTCCGCACGAAAATATTAGGGGTTCTTGGTAACGCTGTATGGAAAGGTAGCTGTGTATAATAATGAAATGAAATGAAATGGGATTTAACGTCCTACTGTTCTGCTCCGACTGGGCTAATGAAAACGGGCATACGCCATACGGTGTTCTAGCCCAGACATTTTGCCCGGACAGCAGTGCCACGGTCTACTCTATATCGAATTCCAACTGCCAAGGAATCTTTTACGTACATGCCAATTTGTGCACAAGACCTCGTTTTTTTGTGCCATCCGAGCGACTGGACAGTTGTACTTCACTACTTGTCAGACCCTCTTTCCTGCACCACTGACAAGGGGAACCCAATCTGGAAAATCATGATGAACTTTCTCGGCCAGCACTGGGAGCAAACCTGCGACCTCCGGAATAGCGAGCCACCGTGGCTCCCTTGGATTAACGGCTTTAATAAGGGACAATGGAAATAGTGGTTTGTTAGATTTACGGGTCATCTAGCAGAACATCTGGAGAAGGAACTTTTGTAATAATGCACGGACTGTCAGATGTATGGGTCGTTAACTATATAAAACTAGCAAAAATTCTGAAAAACAAAATTGCTGTATGGATGCTCGTGATGAATTAATTGATAATTTCAAGCCAATCATCAATTTGTATGGTTTCCACTGATCGTACGTGTGTAGAACGACTAATCACTAAAAAAAAAACCAACAGCAACAAATCACGAACGAAGTATCAATTTCAAGCCAATCAACTTAGATCCGTTGATCGTGTAACTACTGATCACTAAAACAACAGCTAATCACGTCAACAAGTATTTTATTAATGACAAAACTCTAATCAAGTACATGATATATTTTTTCCTGTATTTTTGCTGTGGTCAGGAACCAACTCACACTGCAGGAAGTAGATATAGTTTCGTTGTTAAGGCAAACATCAGTTTCGGACATGCGCAAGTGCCCAGGAGAAAACACACACCAGGAGTCAACTCAAACTATCACACCGGATACACTGGGCAAAACAGGCAATGCGCATGTCAACTTACCAAATCTCGCCCAAGCGAGATCACGTAACTAACAAAAATAATTCTATCCACCAAATCTCGCCCAAGCTAGATTACGCGCCTCATTCATAGAACTATTTCTATGACGCGTCTAATCAATGACGTCACATATTTTTTACGTCAATGAAAATAATTCTCACACTTTTTTGTTCTTTTTTTAAAAGCAAAATTAATGTATAAAATTTAGATCTCAATAAAAACTAAATTATTTAACATTTTTTGTATCACTTGAGAAAATTAATTATGAAGGTTTTATATTTAACAATAATCAGCTTCGTTCTACTCAGGCAATGCCTGTTACATATTATACATATATTTAAGACGCAAGAATTTGTAAGTATTCTTACTGTGTTTACTTACACGATATCATAAAATAAATAGGTAAAATTCGGATATTATATTGCCCAATTTCCAGAAATGTTTTCTACACGTGCAGTTGGAAGATTTATAAACAAAGGGGGGTTAACTCTGCATAAAGTCTCGAACAACAAGCAATAAGAGGTTGCTAATATTTCCTAAACTGGCCCGCAAATTAGTTCTATATCTGGCCGATTGGCCTTATACATTTTTTTTAAACATTCCGTTGAGTCTATCCTATAAAAGCCAAGAGTCCAGCATGTAAAATAAATATTTAATTAAAATCTTGAAGTGGGTTTACTGGATACCGGGACAGTCAAAACGGCCCATATGTGCCAAAGCGACCCCTAAAAAGTTATAGGCCTAAATGAAATGTATTGAACAATTTCACCAAACGGAATCTCTCACCCGTATTCCAGCACTCGGATTCGTATGGAAGGATAACGTTGCCAATATACTGCCTGTTCAAAGAACTTAATTTCGGGAAATCAATCGACAGTGCCACGTTATAAACGCTCTACGCTTAGTAAGGATGAAATTATATCCAATCACAGATCTGTACTCACTTCATTTGGTACTCCATGTGGAGATACCTATACAGATTTGCCCTTGTTATTATTGGATACCTAAACTACATAAAAATCCCTACAAGCAACGTTTTATAGCAGGTTCATCCCGTTGTTCCACAAAACCACTTTCAAAAGTATTGACATCCATACTAACGGCAGTGAAAGAGGGTATTCAAAAATACTGCGACAAAATATACTCTCGTAGTGGTTTTAATCAAATGTGGATATTAAAAAATTCCAAAGAATTACTTGATGGTTTACAATCTAGATCACTTGCTTCAATCTCATCTATACAAACGTTTGACTTTTCTACTTTGTACACTAAAATTCCCCATAGTAAATTAAAAGCTCGGTTAAAAGACATTATTCACAGTGTCTTTTCATCTTATCAGGAAATGTTAGATATCAATATTTAGTTGTTAATTACAATTCCACATATTTTGTCAAAACCATAGTGATTCCAAAAATAAATTCACCGCCAACAAGATAATTCAGATGTTGGATTTTTTAATTGATAATATCTTTGTTGAATTTGGAGGGGAAATTTATCAGCAAGTTGTAGGTATCCCCATGGGCACCAACTGTGCACCTTTGCTTGCTGATTTGTTTCTCTATTCCTACGAAGCCGATTACATACAGGCACTTGTAAAATCAAATAAACGATTAGTCAGGCATTTTAATTTCACTTATCGATATATCGATGATGTTCTATCACTGAATAATCTAAAATTTATTGATTATGTAGAATTCATATATCCTGATCTGAGCTCGAAATTAAAAACACTACTGACGGTGACAATTACGCTTCCTACTTGGATTTGCGTCTCGATTTTGACAATTGCCATAAACTTAGTGTTAAATTGTACGATAAACGTGATGACTTTGACTTTCCGATTGTTAACTTTCCATTTATTAGTAGTAACATTCCAATATCACCAGCTTATGGAGTGTTTGTGTCTCAACTAATTCGTTACGCGAGAGCTTGTTCATTTTATTCTGATTTTTTAAGTAGATCGAGGCATTTGTCATCTAAGCTTCAACTACAGGGATATTTGCGAACTAAACTTATTAAAACCTTTAAAAAGTTTTATGGCCGCCATATTGATTTGATTGGTAAATATAACATGTCTCTATGGTGGCCTATCGTTATCATTTAGGATTTAACAAAATTTCTTTAAAAACCTAAATAAAATGAAATGAAATTCAAAATCAAAACCAAAATCAAAAGTAAATTAAAAGTAAAAGTTCAACCAAAAGCAAAAGTTAAATCAAAACTAAAAATTAAATCAAAAGCAAAAATAAAAATAAAAGTAAAAGTAAAACCAAAATGTAAATTAAAATCAAAACACAAATGAAAACTAAAATCATTTTTAAGAGTAATTTGAAAAGTTCAACCAAAAGCAAAAGTTAAATCAAAACTAAAAATTAAATCAAAAGCAAAAATAAAATTAAAAATAAAAGTAAAACCAAAATGTAAATTAAAATCAAAACACAAATGAAAACTAAAATCATTTTTAAAAGTAATTTGAAATGTAAAACAAAAGTAAAAGTAAAAAGCAAAATAAAAATATTTGTCGGCCTATCGCTATCATTCAACTTTTTTTCACGCAAAAGTAAAATAAAAATATTTGGTCGGCCTATCGCTCTATCATTCAACGTCCTTGACCCCAATCGGTAACCGTCGGCTATTTCCGACCGCTTCGACTCGACGGTTTGTTCTCCCTCGGTACAAATAAAACTGAATCAGAACAGTATTTTCTTATGGAATGCGAAAAGTATAAAGATTTGCGAACACAATCCATCAAGCATCATTGTCCCGATCAGTGTTGCAGAATTTGTGATTTATATCTACATAATATTAATTATATTACCCGTATCTATTTTAAGCGGGCATGTTGTTTTTTTGTCCTGTTTTTATTTTCTATATTATGTATACTGTATGTATGGTTTGTATTGTCTGCCTGTAAATTGATGCCCGTGTATAACTTTTTTATCTTTACATATTGTATATGGCCGCCCTAAAAGGGCGTTCCGATGCAATCAAATTCTATTTTGTTCTTTTCTATTCTATATACATATTTACACATTCATTAGTGTAATGGTAGAAGTTACTGATTAAGCGTTGCACATCCGTCTACACTACCACCGCCTTTCGATGGGTGGCCCTCGAGACGTAGCTATACCCAAGGCCAGGTTGTCGCTATGAGTTTTTTCGGAGAGAAGAAATGAAATGAAATGAAATGGGGTTTAACGTCCTACTGTTCTACTCCTAAACTGGGCTAATGAAGACGGACATAGGCCATACAGTGTGCTATGAGGGAAATTTTGCCCGGACAGCGGCGCTACGACCTACTCTTATATCGAAATCCAACTGCCAAGGGATCTTTTACGTACACGGGACTTCGGTTTTTCGTCGGAGAGAAGAAGCACTCCGACACTCACGTTGGGCAAACAATGTGACAAGATACGGCGTCAAGAACCGAACCCCCTAATCCAGGCAGCTGAAAGTTTGACGTCATATTCAAAATGGATGCCTCCGTGTCTTGCCATTTTGGCGAGACAAACTTCGATTTAAAGTAGCTAACTCAATATCATCCAAAACCTTCGACATTGAAAACACGAATTATTTGTCAATTGTAATCAACATTGGTGTTGTGTGGGACTAACATAATATGGTTTAATTTTATTTACATAATTCGCTTGCGCGTAGGGGTCTTTAGCAGTGGGAGGAAACCGGAGGCCCCGGAGAAAACCCACGAGGTTGGACAGGCGACCCTACTCCTTGCCACGTACAACCGGGGATTCGAAACCACGCCAGTCGACTCAATGACAGACTTTATGATACAGCGCGCAAGCTAACCATTCAGCCATCCAACCCCCCGATCTTATCGGGAAAAGATGGGCCTCTGATATCCAATATTTAAGACAAAATAAACATTGAAAACACGAATTATTTGTCAATTGTAATCAACATTGGTGTTGTGTGGGACTAACATAATATGGTTTAATTTTATTTACATAATTCGCTTGCGCGTAGGGGTCTTTAGCAGTGGGAGGAAACCGGAGGCCCCGGAGAAAACCCACGAGGTTGGACAGGCGACCCTACTCCTTGCCACGTACAACCGGGGATTTGAAACCACGCCAGTCGACTCAATGACAGACTTTATGATACAGCGCGCAAGCTAACCATTCAGCCATCCAACCCCCCGATCTTATCGGGAAAAGATGGGCTTCTGATATCCAATATTTAAGACAAAATAAACATTGGTACACGATTCGTGTGCCATAATGCGTTTCAGCGCAATTTGTAACAAGCGACTCGAAGAACGGGGTTAGACATATTCCACAGGTCATGTAAAACGGAGACCCCATATTCTTATCTGGAGAGCATGCGCAATAAATACTATCGGTTTAGACTGGAATAACCAGACGCTATAAGAGATTGCCATTCGATTGAGACTTCTGGCGTATTTCACCGAACATAACTGCTTTGAAATTAGAGTAAAAACGGAAACGATTGAATGTAAATCTGTTTATTTACATTCATATTACATTATTATGTACGTTGCGACCCATTTGTGTCAATTTGTACGTCCCAAATATTATCGATTTAGCTCCTTTAACTGAAGAATTATCGATCAAAGAGAAATTGTGCCCGGACAGCGGCACTACGGCCTACTCTTATATCGAATTCCAACTGCCTGGGGATCTTTAACGTGCATGCCAATGTGAACACGGGACCTTGGTTTTTCGTCCCATCCGAACGATTTTCCCATAAGAAAATCGGATATTGATATCATCGCTATAGTCACATTGCATAACCCGTGGGTTTTTTCTGTTAACTCCCAAACTCAAAGCCCAGCTTAACCAGGGCGGGTCCCTGGATAATTCTTCAGTTAAATCGAAGTTTGTCTCGCCAAAGTGGCAAGACACGGAGGCATCCATTTTGAATATGACGTCAAACTTTCTTGACGCGGTATCTTGTCACATTGTTTGCCCAACGTGAGCGTCGGAGTGCTTCTTCTCTCCGACGAAAAACCGAGGTCCCGTGTACATATTGGCATGCACGTATAAGATCCCTTGGCAGTTGGAATTCGATATAAGAGTAGGCCGCAGCGCCGCTGTCCGGGCAAAATTTCCCTCATAGCACACTGTATGGCGTATGCCCGTCTTCATTAGCCCAGTTTAGAAGCAGAACAGTAGGAGTAGGACGTTAAACTCCATTTCATTTCTTCTCTCCGAAAAAAAGTCATAGCGACAACCTGGCCTTGGATATAGCTACGTCTCGGGGCCACCAATCGAAAGGCGGTGGTAGTGTAGAGGGATGTGCAACGCTTAATCAGTAACGTCTACCATTACACTAACGAATGTGTAAATATGTATATAGAATAGAAAAGAACAAAATAGAATTTGATTGCATCGGAACGCCCTTTTAGGGCGGCCATATACAATATGTAAAGATGAAAAATTTATACACGGGCATCAATTTACAGACAGACAATACAAACCATACATACAGTATACATAATATAGAAAATAAAAACAGGACAAAAAAAAATACAAAAACAACATGCGCGCATAAAATAGATACGGGTAATATAATTAATATTATGTAGACATATAAATCACAAATTCTGCAACACTGATCGGGGCAATGATGCTTGATGGATTGAAGAGATGGATTGAAGAGATTATTAAAACAAAAGGTTCGATCAGTAATGTTTACGGTTGGATATATATATATTGTGTTCGCAAATCTTTATACTTTTCGCATTCCATAAGAAAATACTGTTCTGATTCAGTTTTATTTGTACCGCGAAAGAACAAACCGTCGAGTCGAAGCGGTCGGAAATAGCCGACGGTTACCGATTGGGGTCAAGGACGTTGAATGATAGGGAGGCAGACCACCATTAATTTCCCCATTGACTTCAATGTTAATTCTGGCCTATTTGCCCACCTCCAACTTTTCCCCAAATTTTCGTTGGGCTGAATGCTTTCCACTACAGACAGAGGAACAAATGGTCATGTCTTTGCACTAAAATTTGTATGAGGTTGACCACCAAAATTTTGAGATACACAAACTTGAAGAAGCATACTAAAAACATGTAACTAGTTGCCGTACATATCGCCGTAGCTAACCCGATAACCCTCTTATCCTTCCGCCTCAAAATCATGAATATTTACCAAAACCTGGCAGAAAATGTTAATTCAAACCCTCTTCATCCATTCTAGACCAAAAAATCAACACAAATGGGCATGCAAAAGGGGAGAAAAGAGAGAGAGAGAGAATTGCTATAAATAGACGAACTACAATATTTTTATTTTACTTTTGCGTAAACAAAAGTTGAATGATAGCGATAGGCCGACAAATATTTTTATTTTGCTTTTTACTTTTACTTTTGTTTTACATTTCAAATAACTTTTGAAAATGATTTTAGTTTTCATTTGTGTTTTGATTTTAATTTACATTTTGGTTTTACTTTTATTTTTATTTTTATTTTTGCTTTTGATTTAATTTTTAGTTTTGATTTAACTTTTGCTTTTGGTTGAACTTTTCAAATTACTTTTAAAAATGATTTTAGTTTTCATTTGTGTTTTGATTTTAATTTACATTTTGGTTTTACTTTTATTTTTATTTTTGCTTTTGATTTAATTTTTAGTTTTGATTTAACTTTTGCTTTTGGTTGAACTTTTGCTTTTGGTTGAACTTTTGCTTTTAATTTACTTTTGATTTTGATTTTGCTTTTCATTTTCATTTCATTTTATTTAGGTTTTTAAAGAAATTTTGTTAAATCCTGAATGATAACGATAGGCCACCATACTTGTCTCTCTCGGCTATTATTCTAGATATATTTATTTGACGCGTATACTATCTCTCTCTCCTACATCGTTAACACTGTTCATCACGTGCATTTTGCATACCGATAGTTCATTGGCCAATCACGCTATTTTACCGAGATTTCGCCTAATAGTTTGGATGCAGCTATGGCGGGTGTGGCGCCAGGCAGGGTAAGCTTACTCTTCCGGACACCTGTTACCACTGTTTGTCGTGTATTTTGTACACGGTGAACAGTCCATATGCTGATTACCGTTTTTTTAGGACTTCGAATTTTGTCTAATGGTTTGGATTGTTCGTACTTGGTTTTATTTTATTTCATTGTTCACGGTGCAAACTGCAAATGTCAGTAGTTCAAAATACGTATTTTAGTTTTATAATTTGCAATTTCCATTGCTCAACAATACCAATGTCACGGTGTTAAAATACAGAATACACTTTTCAATAATACAAAATACAGTATAATAGTTATATAGTAGAACATATACCGTATATGGGATCTACGACGAACCTCATTTGCATACGGAAAAAAGTCCGGACTATGACTGAAATTAATGAAGTTAGCACACATATTCCTAGCGCCAATAAAAACCTAGATATAATTATCATGAAAAGAATTGTTACCTTTATATTAGAAAATAACATTTTACGACATATTAATGCAAAGAATATATGTAATAGAGCCCCCCCCCCCCCCCACACACACACCAAGAAAAAAAATATCCTATTACCTTAAACATACTAAAATATCGCACACTAGGCTAACTGGGCACGCAGAAAAAGTGGTACGTCCACGCTGCTTCAAAACGCACCCAAACCAGATTTTGTGGCAAAATGTTTTTTGTTTCATTGAATCAAGGGATGAATAAACTACTAGAATACAAAAATCCAAACGCCGCCTATGCTGGATTTTCAAGATTTATTACCGTAAACGTAAATAATAACAGTTACCCCACTAATACAATAAATGCAAGGTCTAAAAAATAAAATCTCATCCTTAAACACTCATGATGTCGAAACATACGAAAAAATATTGTTACGTTGAACACAAACTTGATCAAATTTATGGCATAATATGCTTTGCTACCGCTGAGGGATTGGTGGAAGCTAGTGACTTATGCTTTTTTATTCGTACATCAAGTGGGCGCTTCGTTTCACGTACATACTTTTATTTTCATTGCACGAGCAAGGTATTTCAATTATACATCCTATGGACTGTGGTGGTTGGTTTGTTGTGTTTTACCATTAGCTTTTAATATATTCTCAATGGTTGTGCCGCTTGCCAAGGTGATATCTATGCCCAGTTCTTGTTTCATCAACTTTCTAATCCGGTATGAGATTTTGCCACGAAACGGGGGGGGGGGGGGTATTCTGATGCCAGAGTGGTCTGTCTTTGGCGTTCCAGGCTTGCGTCTGTTCTCTATGGTGGTGGTGATGACACCACTAAATAGTTGGGTGTTTTTTAAATTAGAAATTAATATTTACTAACAAGAGGGTCATCATTTATATCAACATAAACCACTGCCCAACCTTCGCCCCGCCTTCATCCAAACTCATCTATGTTTTGATAATTCAAGTTGTATTCTAAACATCTACGATCGGTGTAATTAAAATTAAACGAACGACGAGGGAATGTGTAGTAATTATGTTGTTTCGCATGTTTTTTTAACTAGCGGCATATTCACTCCCTCGCCCCCAGAATTCCGCTCAACTAAAGTACTTTATTGTGCTTGACTCATTTCATCATTTTTGTATTGTTTGTGTTAAGACATTGAACATGCAGAGATGGTTTAATCGATGTCGTGTGGGTTTTTATTGGATATATATTGTTCATGATAAAGAAGTATTCAATGAGAAATCATTAACCGGGAGAATTTTTTTCAGAAGTAGACAAAACATTACTATAGTGTAAGAAAAATAGTAATAACTTGAAATAGAAGGTATAAATAATTCAGTATTTTTATTGTAAAATTTGATTGTTCCGTTACCAAGAACTGCTCTATAATCCCCAAGGAATTGGTGGGTTTATACGTGTTCCAAATGATTAATCTTTGTTAAGGTTAATATTGTATCCGGTGCTGTTAAGCATTTCATGCCATGGAGTCAGTTGGATCCTGATGTGGTAGTATAACACCATGAAAGCAGAAGTCGGATATAAAATCTGTTGAAAACACCCTTTTGCATTCTCATCGTGATAACTTTTAGAAAATGGATGGTATCCTTGTAGTCAGCGTACTGATGACAATCCTGCATTCAAGGGTTCAAGCGACATTAAATGACACTATCGAGTTGTCATTTTCTTCTTTGTCACACAGGAATAAAAGATATAACAGTGATCCTTTCAATATCTTCAAAAACGTTGGTGTTTTGCACTGTGCTAAGTACTGTCTACAGCGAAGTATGTGCCAATCATTCGGCCAGGAAGGTGATGTTTGCAGTTTGTTTGAAACTCAACTTGTAAATCAATTAGAAACTAATGCGGGGTCACTGTTCAGCACCAAATCTGAAATCGAACATTTCTTTTCTCAGGTAATATATATGTTTATGGTAACGTAATTTATCTAATTTAAAAGATTGTAAAATTGACACATCAGGAATTGCTGTAAGATGAAAATTCGAAATCTGTGGCTTTTGTTTTTAAATTAACTTTAATTAAATTTGAATTAAATTTGATACGAATTTTCGAATTTCTTTTTTAAAAGTCCAAAACATTTATTTTACGTAAAGGAATTAGTGTTATCCATCAATTGTGTACCCAGGACTCAATTTCTCGGCAATGTTAATATTATGACGTATATTATTGCCGACCAGAGAGAATCCAAATTTTTTATCGCCCTTTAATGTATATGCTATTTCGAATTGAACTAAGCGAAAAATATCGCAATTTATACGCATAAATTCAATGTGGACGTATATTGTCGTTACTTCCGTCAGTTTAGCCGCAATAGTAGGGTAAACGTGGTGACCTTTACAATTGATACACCCATTGATGCTTTGCGAAAGTAAAATAGCATCAAGCGAATATTTTTTCAAAATCAATGAAGTAGGAAGCATTCACATAGTCATTTTTTATGTACACATGTGGCCATGGTGTTAACCACGTAAAATCTCGAGTATAGAATTATGTGGTATTGTTTCACTTTTATTTCATTGTGGAAATTATGAAAGTTACAGGTCTGTAAAATTTTTTATAAACAAATGATTACAAAACCCACCCAAAGGAAGTCCTTATTACTTTTGCTGGAGTCAAATCAGTAGTGGAAACATTTCTAGCGTCAGTTGTACATTGGCCTGGCGGTTATATGGGAGAACCATGTCGATCTTTTTACAGTTCGTGGCTGATGTTGTTCATTAGGGTATAAGGAGGAACCATATTAAAAATCTAGTTGTTCGGATTGTAAGTTTCGAACGCGTGCTGTTGTTTCTCCAGGCTCATTTTGCCCCTTATTCAAACGGAGTGGGAACTGGGATTGTGGCATAGTCTATGGAATAAACTCTCACAATCAATGAATCCATTACTGTCTGTGGGCCATTTTAAATCTCAGCTCAAAACATTCTTATTTCAAAACCCTGATCTGTAAATAATCAGTGAATATAAAAACCAACAGCGCCTTAGAAACTGTTTTCTTCAGTATTAACGCGCTTTGTAAATGACGATATTATTATTATTATAACCAACAAGTGTAATGAATCCAAATGTAAAACGTGTTCAATCATAATTGAAGGTTCATCCATAAATATCACGGACAATTTTACATTTCATGTAAAACAACCAATGACTTGTAAACCTGATTACATTATATATGTAATAATTTGTCCGGGCGGTAAGGGTAGATATATCGGAAAGACCATAAATATGCTTAGATTAAGAATGAACCACCATCGACAACATATTCTTAATCCGCTATACAGGATGATACCCCTAAGCCGACACCTCGATGTTTGTGGCAAATGCAATTTTAATGTCTTTCCGTTATATCAATTAAACAGCAAAAACAACGATCTATTAGATGCAAAGGAATCATATTTTATTGAAAAATTCAAACCATTGCTTAATTCAAGGTGTTGATTTTTTGTTGTATTAACATTGTAGTTGTGTAAATTATAAATGTTTAATTAATCATTTTGTTAATGATACATAATGTATGCATATTATCTTATCGTGCATATTATAGCCATTATAGTTCATTGTTGTAACCATGACGTTATTACGTCATATCAATTGTTGGAATTGGTAAAATTTGCTTGAAGAAGCTTAATAAAGCGGAAAGTACTCGCAAAAACCTATTTTTTCCCCCTAAAATATCTTTATTTCGAATATATATATATATATATATATATATTTATATGTATTATAGGCCTTATACCGTTCTCCTTCCTGCCTCTGTGATGTGAAAAGTTTCATTAAAATAATAGGCCTGATTTACGTCTATTAGTATTATCATGCGACCTAATTATGGTTATGAATGACAAGAAAGTCCAACTTATGCCCAAGTAAACGGCAATGTTCACGTTTTTTTTTTTTTTATTTTCATAAACTGTCGCATATTTCATTCAGAAATATTTTTAGTTAATTTTGAAAATTTATGATTATTTCAAAATTTATAACGGCATTATTTTATCGATGTTTACCTTGAGGTAAATGCAACTATGTCAACCATACAAAGCAATGTTTTGCGAGTGGTAACATGGCGGAATTAGTACTTCCGGTGACTTCACACTTCTCAGCCAATAAGCTATCCAGTTATTAAAAAGATCAGTGCCCTCCGTACGTTGACGACTAGGATGTTCTGGGTGACCGAGACTATGCAAATTGAGAAGTCGTCACTCCGTCTACATTCAAATTCTTGAAGTAATATTATAAAACTTAGTGGAATTGTTTTGTTTGCAACATTATCAAAACTTGGAATTCTCAGATGGCAAATTTTATTCTGTAGGCCTACCAGTTTTTGGGTGATGTGGCTTGTTAAAAATATTTTGTCTAGCTGCTTCATCAGCTATGTACACAAATTGCTGTGTCATATTCCCAATTATTTACCTTGAGATTAGTGAAATAGTAACCATATTCTAACTTCAACTAGCCAGTGCTAGAAGACTATTGACCGAGTTCAAAACCAGATCGTGCTGACTATGAAGTTAGGTGTAGTAGGTGGGGAAACAATTTATATCATTTTAAAATTATGTGTACACCGGGAATTCTACATACGCCAATGGAGAAAACCACCCTATGTACTGTTTTATCTTATAATTAAAACACCATTAATTCTTTTTTAAAATTTTAGAATGAGCTGAATGTTTGTGGAAATGTTACTTGTCCTATTGGAACTATCTGCATACAGACTATAAACCATAATACTGCTTGTGTATTTACAGGTAAAAACCTTTTATTTAAATGAGAGCTAAATCTTTGATTTTAGATGAAAAAAGGGTTTTGAATTGATTTGATGTGTTATTTCGAGTAGTGATGAAGCACGCCGGACGTGCCACTTATCCATAGATATTACCTATAAAGGTGTACGTCTCTTAATTGTGTGATCAACAAAAAGAAAATGCCCCATGGCCACAACAAATCAATGTTACAAACAATATTAAAGATGGGTTCCCGCGTACAAACTGGGTGATTTAATGGTATATATGGACTAAAAACATATTCAAACTAATTAATTTGTCATAACTTTGCTTCAAATCCTGGGGGATGGGTGGCTGAATGGTTAGCACGTGCGCGCTGTACCATAAAGTCTGTCATTGAGTCAACTGGCGTGGTTTCGAATCCCCGGTTGTACGTGGCAAGGAGTAGGGTCGCCTGTCCAACCTCGTGGGTTTTCTCCGGGTCCTCCCACTGCTAAAGACCCCTACGCGCAAGCGAATTATTGAAATAAAATTAAAACATGTAAACATGTGTTAGTCCCGAAATGGCCTAGTTTGTGTTGAGTGAACGTTAAACCCCATTTCTCTCTCTCTCCGCTTCAAATCCTTCTCAAACATCGTAATTGCGAAGGAATGCCCTGCTAAGTGCTATAAAAAGTCGATCAAACCAGGTCATGTTTACGTCACGTGACTTACCTCTTGGAAATCAGAGGAGAATTCATTGCATACATAAGACGGTCTTGTCTTTAATCGCTTACTATTTATTACAAATATCGAATCCTAGTTAAATTCTCGGATTATCCACTACCCTCGTTTTTTTCCGCCATTTTTAACTCAGAAAGTGCTGTACGTCTAACTCTCCATAAAGTTTATCAACTTGTACATCAAGCGCTCAATGTTCGCGTGTGACCTTTGACATCATGCGTGCAGAAATTCCTAATCGTCGGGCTGTTGATTAGGGGAACCCTTACATGTTTGTCCTGTATACGCTCCATGAGTGTTTTTCGGGGAATCCAGCATTTTTCTAAGATTGGATATCTCTACTTTCCATATATACCAAAATTACCATACTTTTATTGGATTATTGGAAATATTAAACCACCCGATAAATACTTATCTGGGAACCCATCTTTAAGGCAAGCGGGAATAAAGATGCGGGCTGTTATGCGGACATTTTTCTCGGTTATATTTACCAATGTAAGTCGAACTTATTTCTTCTGTCCCTGAACTAAATCGAGAAAGAAAAAATACGCCCCCCCCCCCCCAACAAAAAACACATCATACAATAATATATCGTTTTGTCTTTACATGTTAGACTTACATAACATATAGACCCGAATCCCTATTAACTAATCCCTATTGTGAATATGCAACTAAGCCTAATCAAATATTTTGATTGTATTTTCTCAATATATTGATTTACCCAATCGACATTATTTTGTTTTTATTTCTTTCATTTTCGACATAAACTACTTGTAAATCGTTATTTTCAGATTGCCCTAATCTACCTGAAAAACCTAGGAACAGTTATCTGCCACCTATTGTAACAAGAGAGGTTGGTAAATCCCTGTTATTACAATGTGATTTTCGACCAGTTGGAAATGCAAGCATTACTTGTCAAACAGACGGTAACTGGACTATACCAAACTTTAATTGTATTGACGGTAAGTGTGAACAATTATTATTTACGCAAAGACACAATTTAGTCAAGTTTATATTTTACAAAAAGCTGTTGAGTACTATATTGTATATTATGTATAACTATATATACCATTTCATTTTTAAAAAATATCATGACTCAGGTCTCTTTTTTTTTTGAAACCAGTAAAAATAAGGTATTGAGCCAAACTAAGGCAACATTCTTTGGTCACGACAGCAAATCGAACAATCGTGTATTCCGGTACTAAATACAATGTGGTAATATTATCCCAATAACGCCCCCCCTATCGAATCGGTGTAATAGTTCTCAAAATCATGGACTTCTCGTTGGACTTCAATATTGTCTCAGACTTCACGCTGTGTTATTTTAATACTATAACTAAGGAAAACGGCTTTGTTCTAAATACGTGTTTATATATCAGTGATACATCACTAATACAAAAATTACAACAGCTATGAAATTACATAAGCAATGACGCTAAATGCAGTCTTATCTCAGCCGCTCACCAGAGCTGACTTTTATGTGAAGCAACTTTAAAGGACAAAATTGCTGTCAGTCATTATCACATATTATGCGATAGAACTCGTAGCAATGATCTCTGTGTTGAATAATATTTGGAACGTGTTAAACCAGTTCTATCACATATGTGATAATGACTGACACCAATATTGTCCTTTAAGATATCGCCATTGTCCCAGAATGATGTTTGGCAAAACCACGGAGCAGGTACGATTCTACTCGCGACACACGGACGTAACCTCTTTCTAAGCGGTAGGCCTATATAGTATACTACATGACCTTTGCCTACGAGCTGATGAATTATAAATCAGTTGGAAAATCATCGAAACCTTAGTGAATTTTCATTGCTTGTGCTGAACTTCATTTACTATTTAGAACATCAATCTGATTAAAACACAGATCCTATTTCGTTTCGTTTTTATAGTTCAAAATTTCGACTTTACTTGTCTTTACTACACTTGGATCTGGAAGCGTTGTTATTTAACTCGTGTTCTGCTTGAAATGAGGGGTCAGCCAATCAAATGGTCTGTCGAATCGAGCGTTTGACCTTTTTTGCGCGGAACTGTGGGTAGACATTAGCGACATAAGAAATCAAAACAAAGCAAAAGTAGATAAAAGAATACATGGCGGTCGCTAATTGGTTAATTGAATGACTGACGTATATCGAAAGTATAAAAAACGAAACGAAATATAAATCTATATTTTAATTAGATTGTTAGAACATTCACTTCTCATCACACAGTTCACATATTTTTGTGTAAACATTTGAAATGATTATTTTTCTTGACTGTCACCACTGTGTTATTTTTCCATCAAGCACTTGATGTGGCGTACAATTAATTTAGATTTCACAACATAGACGAAGTGTCCTGACCCCCCCCCCCCCAAAAAAAATAGGGATAATGCGACTTGATGATTGGGATTTCTTTATTTCCCGTGTATTTTTTATTCTGTTGTAAAAATTAGAACTACCCGAAAGTTCACAACGAAACGAAACCATGCCATCTGCCGATAATACGAGAAGCGATAGCCAAAGTGTCTTTTTATAAATCTACGTTTTCTTTGTGGCGTAATTCTAATGATTTTTATAAATTCAGTCTTTATTATTATAAATAATTATTAGCTTTCGATTGAAGAAAATGAAACTGACAGAAATAGAAAACTGAACTAGATTAATATGGAAGGGTATCGCTGCCAATAATAAATGCTCTGCTACAATGTTTTTTCTATTGATTATATGTAAAAAGTACAATGTACAAAGTCATAATACCGGTAATGATAAAGTCAAAATACCTCTAAGGCAAGAGTTAAATGTAAAACGTCAAATGTTAATTGTTAAATGACAAATGTTTTGTGGGAAAATGCTTTTTTTGACGTGTCTACATTTTACATTTCTCTCATTACACTTTACATTTGCTCTCTGCCACATCCCATTTGTGCTTCGCGTGACTTATTAACATATACGGAAACCTGGCACACTATAAGCCAGAACAAGGATATTCAGGAAATCAGCCTAGCACACAATAAAAATTTACTCACCTTGACACTTTGGATGGCACTTTATGATGATTACCGGGGGGGGGGGGGGGGCTGGCTGTGCAATGTCCAAATACGAAATTTCAGGTATCATGTTACATATTAGTGGAAAGCACATTCATTTCTGTTTGTAAATATGTAAATAGTTTTCTGGTACAATCGTATTTTCATAATTTATATCCAATAAATATCACACTATTAAAGGGGTATTCAAGTTAAAATACTGGTCTAAATACGAAATTCCAGATACCATGTTGCCTATAACTGATTGCTCTTATCAAATATGCAAATAATTTTCTGGCACATTCATATTTTAGATAAACTAAAATAAAGATACAGGGCTTAATCAAAAATTCTCTATGTCCATACTAAAAGATGTATAGTCATTCCTCTCTTTAAATATATTATTTATTTGTTGGGCACAATCCTTAAATATTGTTTTTTTTTAATAGATCAAAGTAGGCTACTCAACTCTGTTTATAGAGAGACCGGAAAGAGTGGGGGTGTTTAACTCTTGCCTTAGAGGTGTTTTGACTTTATCATTATCGGTATTAGGACTTTGTTCATTGTACTTTTTACACATAATCAATGGAAACGACATTGTCGCAGAGCATTTAATATTGGCAGCGATACCCTTCCATAGATTAACGCATTACGGGGGGTGCTTTGGATTTTTTTTCCTTTTTTTTACTTAACCCTTGTCGGTGCTCGTGGGGTCTCCGTGGACCTCATGCACATGTTTTATAGTGTTTTGTAATAACTACTGGGGCACTGCTTTCTGAAATTTAGTGACTTTGTCTCCTATACATTTTTACACGTAGCGAAGAGTTTGGTATTCATCTGCTTCCCACATGCTGAGTTCTGTTACATGCAAATCAGGTCCAACGCTTGAAGGGAACAAGGGGTCCAATCGGACCCCTAACTTACAACTCACAGTAGAGATTTTGCTAATGTATTTGCTGCCTAATACCATATTGCGTATGCCAGAGTATTCTCTCTTTTAACACCTGTATGTTACAAATACCCTAAATTAAATGATGAATTCCAAATATTCAATGGTTTTTGTATCAAACGTGATTTGCCATTTTACCTCTTTATCACATAGTACACAATATGAATGCAAATAAAAACTAAAACCCTGCCTTTTAATTCAGATATATCTGTACGTAAACCCCTTGATACCTGCTATGTGATTCTCACAACGTGAACCGACAAGGGTTAATATTTCATCAGCGTATATTTATTAAAATAAACTTTGGCTATCGCCACGGATCGGCAAAGTTTCTTTTTCTTTTTTTCATTTGACTACGCCGGACGTGTTTACATTACAAAGTATGCAACAATTCAGACGAATCTGCCTATTCATATTTAAGTTAGGAGAAAACCTCAGAGATTAAATTATCTTGAAATCTAATTTTGGTCGATAAACTGTAAATAATAATTATTATTATTTCATCAGCGTAGATTTATTAACACAGATAAGCGAATATTTAATAATTAAGTGAATGACATTTCCAATAAACGCCTTCTCGTATTATCAGTACCTAGCATTTCTCGTTACATTGTGAATTTTTCTCTCACAATGTTTACCATCAGCATAAACGGAATGAAATTAGTTCCCAGTCTTGTTTAGATTGATATAGATCATTTAGAAATTATTTTATGGTGGCCCCGTTCCCCTGTCCTTTTTCATATTATATATATTGTGTTGTTTGTTTATCGCAGAATGTGTTTCACCACCTACATCGAGCTCAATGACGAACGATGCGAATGCAACAGCCATTGGAACGATAATCACTTACACATGTAATCTACCCAGTTTTGGTAATACATCTATAATCTGTCGAGGCAATGCTACATGGTCCGAACTTGACGAAGATGTGTGTTATTATGGTAAGCTTTCCCGTGTAAAATGTATTATATTCCTATGAGTACCAACGGTCCTTCGAACCTACTTTGCTGAACTACAATTTCTGTATTCTTAAAAGCACATATTTGTCATTAAAATAAACTTTGGCTATCGCCACTGATCGGCAAAGTTTCTTTTTCTTTTTTTCATTTGACTACGCCGGACGTGTTTACATTACAAAGTATGCAACAATTCAGACGAATCTGCCTATTCATATTTAAGTTAGGAGAAAACCTCAGAGATTAAATTATCTTGAAATCTAATTTTGGTCGATAAACTGTAAATAATAATTATTATTATTTCATCAGCGTAGATATATTGACACAGATAAGCGAATATTTAATAATTAAGTGAATGACATTTCCAAGAAACGCCTTCTCGTATTATCAGTACCTAGCATTTCTCGTTACATTGTGAATTTTTCTCTCACAATGTTTACCATCAGCATAAACGGAATGAAATTAGTTCCCAGTCTTGTTTAGATTGATATAGATCATTTAGAAATTATTTTATGGTGGCCCCGTTCCCCTGTCCTTTTTCATATTATATATATTGTGTTGTTTGTTTATCGCAGAATGTGTTTCACCACCTACATCGAGCTCAATGACGAACGATGCGAATGCAACAGCCATTGGAACGATAATCACTTACACATGTAATCTACCCAGTTTTGGTAATACATCTATAATCTGTCGAGGCAATGCTACATGGTCCGAACTTGACGAAGATGTGTGTTATTATGGTAAGCTTTCCCGTGTAAAATGTATTATATTCCTATGAGTACCAACGGTCCTTCGAACCTACTTTGCTGAACTACAATTTCTGTATTCTTAAAAGCACATATTTGTCATTAAAATAAACTTTGGCTATCGCCACTGATCGGCAAAGTTTCTTTTTCTTTTTTTCATTTGACTACGCCGGACGTGTTTACATTACAAAGTATGCAACAATTCAGACGAATCTGCCTATTCATATTTAAGTTAGAGAAAACCTCAGAGATTAAATTATCTTGAAATCTAATTTTGGTCGATAAACTGTAAATAATAATTATTATTATTTCATCAGCGTAGATTTATTAACACAGATAAGCGAATATTTAATAAATAAGTGAATGACATTTCCAATAAACGCCTTCTCGTATTATCAGTAGCTAGCATTTCTCGTTACATTGTGAATTTTTCTCTCACAATGTTTACCATCAGCATAAACGGAATGAAATTAGTTCCCAGTCTTGTTTAGATTGATATAGATCATTTAGAAATTATTTTATGGTGGCCCCGTTCCCCTGTCCTTTTTCATATTATATATATTGTGTTGTTTGTTTATCGCAGAATGTGTTTCACCACCTACATCGAGCTCAATGACGAACGATGCGAATGCAACAGCCATTGGAACAATAATCACTTACACATGTAATCTACCCAGATTTGGTAATACATCTATAATCTGTCGAGGCAATGCTACATGGTCCGAACTTGACGAAGATGTGTGTTATTATGGTAAGCTTTCCCGTGTAAAATGTATTATATTCCTATGAGTACCAACGGTCCTTCGAACCTACTTTGCTGAACTACAATTTCTGTATTCTTAAAAGCACATATTTGTCATTAACAAATTTTTTCTAGTAATTAATTATATAATGTTATAGTTGTCGCTGCTGATCCGCACGCTGCTCAGAGTATGCTTACTCTTACATAAATACTTCATAAAACGTCATGATTGAGTTTTAATAATTTAATATTTTATCATTTAATAAGTTCACGCAAAATTTACTCGGGATAGCTTTTCGTTTTATTGAACCTTTGACTTTAATTATCCCTTCTGGTGATTAAGGTGACCCGCGCGACTGTCAATTATTATAGAACTATTCACCCAAGATCAGATTTCTGCATCCAATTCAGTCTTTTGATAAAAATACCAACAAATGATCGTCAGATAAATACCGGAATATTATTATCAATTGGATGGAAATGAATATGTTTAATCCTAGACGCAGGATCTAGAAACCATTGAAACATAAAAGAAACCTTTAAATTAAAACGGCTAGATCTCTTTGATGTCGGCCACACATAAATTATTGATTCCAATTGGCACTCTTTAATTCTGTATTGTAGAGATATAACCGATATGTCAGTAGCGATTTCCGCATAATAAAATTTTCAATGCATACAAGGGACCTCGGTTTTTTGTCCCACCCGAATAAGTAGATTGTGGTCAACTATTACCATTGATCCCCAATCTTTGGTGTGTGCATACATTGAGAGGTGCAATACAGTTTCCAGTATTTTTTAAATATAGAAGTAATGCAGAACCTTCTCAGTTACGATATGTTCCTGTACATTCCTGGTCGTGTATCGCTTTATTAATATTAATGTTAATGTAACACAAGAATTGAGACAGAAGATATAAACATATGCTGCGAGTCGGGAAGAGTTATGTGTTAGGGTTATGCTCAAGGTATCTATTTGATAACAATAGAGAATTCATTTTGTGCATTTGTAGTGAATTCTTTCATGAAATTATCCACAGATGATTGTTATCTCGATTTGAATTTGGCACTGCGTTTTTAATGGCTTTGAGTGGTAAATTGTTAACATTTGAATTAAAGAGGTAAATTGTTAACATTTAAATCAAAGAGACAAAGCAATGCGTCATCTAAATTCTATCGTCGTCACTTACCAATCATTATAGAAAGTTCCATCCAAGATGTGAATTCTGTATTTTAAATTTATTCATTGGAAAAGGAACAAAATTGTCGCCAGATAAATACTAATAATATAATAATAAATTCCATTTGTAACATGCTAGAATCCACAAAGCGTGCTTAATTCATCCTACTCATTCTCGCATGCAAAGGTTTATACACCACAGGTGTGAATAAATTGGTATGTCAAAGAAAGCAGTTGAAGTCAATACTGGAAGCCAGTTGTAATATGGCAACGCGAATCATTTTTAGTTACTTTCTGGCAACAGAGTTTTGAAGTTGTTGGTTAAGTTAATATTTCGGAAGTCCTGATAACAAGCGACTGCTTCATTCGTTATGAGGTGTGTTATTTTTCCAATGTGCTTTATGTGGGAGAAACATTTGCGAGAGAGAGATCACAAACTTGTTGAGCCATAGCCAATTCCATATCAAGCACTGCAGCTAAGATTTTTACAGAATGTGAAAAGTTGATTGTTACTATACCAGTTCTAAATCGATTATTGATTCCAATGATGCCAATGTGGAGATATAACCGATGTTGTAAGTAGGTGATGTATATTTTCAAACCGGTTGGCGAAGGGGCCAGGTCGGTTGGGGATGTCATTTCTCATAATTAACCTCTGAATTAGAGAACCGGATTCAGACCAGTTATTTGACAACCTCTTTTACTTCGCCACGGCTTAATGTTATTTTGGAAGAGATTTTCAACGTTACAGGCGCCTGTGACATGTGCTACTTTGTCTGAGGGGAGATTGTTGTATTATCTAACTTGAAATTACATGATTTATTATAGTTTACTATTATATGTCTCTTACTAGGTTAAATAAATTTCCTCTGGGATAATAAAGTCATAGGCCTATCTTATTTTATATTTTTCATCTAAAATTCGTAAAACAAAGTTTTATTTACTCCACAAAACAACATAATTTAAATGTTTTGAGTTAAACCAATATTAAGGCCAATTGGTGTCAACCCAATTCAATATTTTATTTTTTGACCTCACTCAAGGTGGCTTAGCTCCTTTATGATGAAAACAAATTGTATTGTTCTTGTCAAAAGAATCTTAAAAATACAACATTTTTTCACCCGGTTTGATATTTCTGTTTTTCTAGGTAAAAACTGCTTTGATACTATGCTGTTGGGTGGTAACATAACATCAAATATTATAATTGCTCCTCGACCAAATTCACAAGTTGAAGTTACATGTAAGGAAGAAGGGGGACTGACCTATACTATAATACGTAAGTTGGTATTTTACCTTTTTAATTCATTTAAGAAATTTGGGAATCACAGTTTGCAAACTTTTTGTAAAAGTTCTATCTCTAAAAGCAATATGATTCTATTATGACGAATCCTTTGCAGACGATATAAACGGGATATGTTCAAAAGTAAGAGCGGCTATAAGGCATGTCGAAATTCAAACCTTTTCTCGCATTCGGGATCCCCCCCCCCCCACACACACACACGCCACATACATCACTATGTCCTATTGCTTCAGATTTCTTAAAAATTGACCTCTGCTAAATCTTTTTATGGACTTCGTTTTAATCCTATTGAATCCAAGCAGGGAGAATATTTATCATTAAAGATACATTATGTAAGATTTAGATAAAGAGCTAGACATTCTTGCTCTAATAGTTGGGAAATAGATAATGTAAAATGAATAATTTGAAAATTTCATTCAAATTACTCAATTGCGAGCGAAGATATTAGCATTTGAAGGTTTGACAAGACGTGTGCAATAGTTTCAACCACCGTACTGGTTGTTCGAAGATAAGTCTCCCTCCTCCATGAGTTGATTATGGCCTGAATAAGTTAATTAATGTCTAATTAATAATTTAGAAAACATTTCAGGCCTAAAAAAAAGTCCTGCAATAGGCAGATTTAGCTCTTGCATAATGTATGTTTAAAATTTAGATTTTGTTTTCTTACTTATATGTAAAATTATAAACTCGGAAACATTTTAGCGTGCATTACGCCGTGGAAAATCTGATATATTCCGAATAAAACATAGCTCGAGAAAGCCCTGGAGGATGTCGCGTAGGCATGGTTCCTTGTGTACGGGACTCGCGAAAAATAAACTCCAATTATATATAGAATATATTTTATAACTGACGAATTAATTTATCATGTTCGTTACTTTCATAAGGCCGGTTGTGCTCTATCGTTGAAATGGTACCAAAATAAACGAGCTCCATAGTGTAAACTTTATCTCATTCAGCGCATTGCAAGGCATTCATATAGAAATAAAGAAAATGATTGTGTTAATTGTTATCTTAACAGAGCCATGTGAATCAATGATTATTTACATTATTGAACATTATTGAAAGAAGACGCTCACAGTCAAACTGAAAAATGCCATCTTTTGTTTTTTGCTCAACAGACCAAAGGCATACTGGGACTATGCCCGTTCATGGTCCTTCGTCCGGTGTTCGATAGTATTCCAATCTCGTCCTTCCAGATTCTTTCTTGCCTGTGCATGCACGTGGCGCCGTTCAATTTTTATTTTTTGTCACAAGAGATTTCTTTTCGAAATTGAAGTGAGATTTAACGTCCTAATTTTCTAAACCAGTCGGTCTTGTGAAGAGGAACGTTTGTCTGGATGGCGTTTCTGCATTATCTTGGCCGAATTCCAACTGTCAACGTGCACGGGGCCTTGTTTTTTGGGTTCATCCGAAGGACTTGACAGATATTCTCTATGCACCACTGACAAATATATAGGAGCCAGCTCGGTACTGACTGAATCACCATGGCCCTTCATTTGTTTTATATTATTTTGGTTCGCGTACCCAAAGATTTTTTTAGAATACAGTCGTCGCGTGTGCGGTATACTTTAAAAGTATTAAATAATCTATACAGATCTGTAAAGGGTGTAGTCATCTAAACCTAATCGACGTCCTTTATTGTCTGTATAAAAAGGCGCCATATTTTGTAAACCTGACCATAGCGCATGTGTTGCTAAAGAGAAAGCGAGAGAGGGACTATATCATTTCGGGACTAAGATGTGGTTAAATTTTATTTTATTAAAGCTCATGACCTACAACCAGACATGATATTAAATGGTACTACAGAGGTAACATTGGTTTACACCATCACTCAAGACACTACAGAATCAATAATATCACAGTCTCAAACATGTAGACAATATGTAGAATACAGGTGCTTTAATAGCAGTATACACGTCAACGGTGTACTAAAAGCAGCATTCTATACCCGGCATCATAACCGTGCTGATTATTTTCCCGGTGGTACACCGGGGGAAGGTAATTGTGCTTGTGGTGTCAACAAGGTCTGCAATGGTACTTCTCCGTTATGTAACTGTGATTCCAATGACGAAATATGGCGAATTGATGATGGTTATGTCAGAAACAAAGGTGATTTGCCGATTACCAAGTTCGAATTTGACCTTGAGGGTAAGAAACCTAATGATTGTATTTAGAGGGTGGTTTGATACCTGGAATTACAAAATATTACTGAAATTCAGTTTGACTCAAATATATATTTAGTCACATTTAAATGTTTATTTCATATATACGGTCACTGATTGAGAACAGTGTATTGTTTAGTTTGTCAGACCGATACAATGTCCCAATCGAATTAAATGTTAATTAGCGTTCGAGTACTTGTACGAACTTGTATTCCAGATTTAAATAGTTTGACAATGTCCCAATTTATATTAAGCCCGACTATTTTTAATTATTTTTTTCAGCTAAAGTATCATACGTCACCATTGATGGTCTAGAATGTGAAGGATCGGTCTAATATGGCAACATCTGACAAATTTGCCTATAGTTATTATTTAACTGGCTATTTGCTGACATTTACGTTGCTCAAACAATATATGTTCTTTGACCAGGTTATTCCAACCGTTTTGTGTGCGCTATTGTTGACGATGCTGAATATTGTGATGCAGATGTTTTTCCATACTTTATCAAGATTACATATTTTTTTCTGCCATTGACCCAGTATAACTGATGTACGGGTTTGACTTCTGCTAAATACTTCGGCTCTTGATGAATACATTTTATTAAAGAGAGCTGAAGACATCTTTTCTCCAACTACAACTCAACTTTTTGTTTCCATTCCTTTATAAAGTGTATATAATAAAGGTGGTTATTTCTCTTAATGCATTTGTTTATATATAATGTGATGGATGATGGCAGTAACATGTATTGTTAAAGACAAAACAACATACTGGCTAAGGGTTTACGGTCTAATTAAAATTATATTTCGTTACGTTTTATTTTTCGATGGTTCACTCAATTACACCCGGGCCTAAAGACAAACCTTACAGCCCACATTTAATAATACATGATAACGACCCCAGTTCAACCTACCCATCAAAACCCGTGATGCAAACAATTCCATAAAGTCTTTTGAACCCCTTTGGTTATTGACACAATTATCTGTTAATGGAACGGCACAAAATAAAATCTGATTTTAATAAGATTAGAGGCAATATAATACCAAGAAAAGTTCAGATTCATTAATTAGAATTTAAAAAGAATCCATATTAAAAGACAGACCGGGAAAAGGTAGTTAAGATATAAATTGATATTCTCTAGGGTGTAATAAAGTTTATGTTTTATGTCCCATTAGGTACACATAAACATCAACTAATGATAAATAGTAAATGAACGAAATTAAACTGTTACGGTAATGGTTATTTTCTTTCAATTATATAAAAAAAAGCAAAAGTACAAAATGTAGAAAATATACACGAGGTTCAGGAATACACACGAGATAGTGTAATATTTGTCCTTGTTTTGCTTGGCATCATTGTTGTGATTTCTATTATTTCTCACGCCCAACGCTGTCTTCAATCCACAACCATTCATAATACAATAGTAAATAATATATTTCCAATCTACATAGCACTATCTTTTCGTTGAATAAATCATGCCCTGGAATTATCAAACATTAAGTTCTTCCACTGCCACATTACGCAATTCTAAAAATAAACACACACCAGCTGCCGTGGCTAAAATATTTGAGATAATACCAATGGTAGATGACCAGGATATGGTTAATGGCTCCAGTGAAATGTCAAAGTGTTTATCTTCTAACTTTTTGAAATAATGTCCGATCTTAACACCAAACACAACCATTGACATAATCTGTAGACTCACTGAAATAAAGAGAACATTGCTCTAATACAGATATATACTACAAAGACAACAGTTAGGGGAAAAAACGGTAACGAAATTGTAATATAACCATAATAATATTGTCACTGTACCATCCTAATCACGAAGTTCATAGACATATAAGACCCTCGAGACATTTTGTATCTGTAAAGGTACAAGCATGAAATCAATAGAAAGTAATGTAGCTTTAGATAACGATAGCTTATGTCATCGATCATAATTAATATATTTTTTTATACGTCCACATTTTCATGTTGACGTATATTGTCGTCGCATATCGGAACGTAACCTCCGGAATTATGGCCCTTGATTGTAAGCTTGTGGACCCTATGGAAGTCACAATTTTATTCCGATTTAAAAAACCGTTTGAATATATCATCGTTACACCTTAATGACGTGAAAATCGTACCAAAACTGTCGGACAAAATAGCCGCCCCTCGAACGCAAACAGTGTAAAAATATGGTATATCAAGGTTGTGGACCCTCTAGAGCTCAAAATTTTGATCCGATTTTGATGAAACTTGAAATACTTGTTTATAACCCAAAGATCTTGGTTCCTTTCGATATTTGCGCATATCGGAACGTAACTTCCTGAATTATGGCCCTTGACTGTACGAAAACTTGCGTTTTTAGCTTGTGGTCCTTCTAGAGGTCACAATTATTATCTGATTTAAGAAAAACGTGTGAATATATGACCATTACACCGTAATGATGGTTAAGTTCGAATTTCGTGAAAATCGGACCAAAACTGATGGACAAAATGGCCACCCCTTATAACGCAAATGATGTAAATATGTGGCTTATCAAGGTTGTAGACCGTCTAGAGGCCACAATTTTTTTCCGATTTATGCTGATATCACAAAGGTCTTGGTTCCTTTCGATATTCGCGCATATCGGATCGTAACTTCCTGAATTATGGCCCTTGATCGTACGAAAAATTGCGTTTTAAGCTCGTGGTCCCTCTAGAGTTAACAATTTTTAACCATTTAAAAAAAAACGTTTGAATATAACACCGTTACACCGTATTGTTGGTTGAGTTCGAATTTTATGAAATCGGACCGAAATTGTGTAAACATCTGGTTTATCAAGGTTTGTGGACCCTCTAGAGGTCACAATCTTGATCCGATTTTGATGAAACTTGAAATGCATGTTTATAACCCAAAGATCTTGGTTGCTTTCGATATCTGATCGTACCTTCCTGAATTATGGCCCTTAATGTTACGAAAATCGCTTTTTGTTTAGCTTGCTCTCTATCTATCTATTGAAAAAATGTGGGCGTATCCTGTCTGGCAGCCGCTGGTTTTTCAATTTGGTAAGACTACTTTCTTATTGTGTGTATGGCCCTAATGTCTGCATTTATCTTTTTAGTCTGGGTTGTTAGGCCTTGGGAAAAATAAATTTTACCAACCGGTTATTTGTTGGTTTTTTTTTTTATACCGTTCGAGATTCGAACCAAAAGGAATATGTCATTTGCTTCCAATATTTCCATGCACTAGCTAACACGCATCTAATAAAATAATATGTTTTACATACGCCAATAACTCATGAACTAACAAACCTAGTCATATAAATATTTAATACATGGTGACAATCTGGTAATAAAGTCGTTCATGTAGAAGAACAATATTGATATTGTATCCAATGCTTCATATAAACATATTAATCTCTTGTGTCCTTTTACTATAAAAGAGATATATAGTAGGTGCTATGTAGCATGGTATCACTCAAGTCTAATTTAAAATCAATTATCTAATTTCTTCAGGTGAAAGAACTTATTCCAAATTTAAATCCACTTTTGAAATCTTTATAGGGTAACGTACTGGGTTACAAATTATATGTGTCACTTTTTCTTGATACCAGCTACATGAATAAACACGAGAAAAAAAACCCAACTACTGTAAAATGTTTGACTGATAAATAATGATTGAATGGCGTACGAATTTATTACATAGTATGCGACCATTTTACCAATCTCTACGCATAAAAGTTCGTTTTATCCCAACTAATAATTTGTTGGATTGACATTATTTCAAGCAAATAATACAATAAGTGGATAGTAGTGCAGAAAACACTACATCAAATATCCTGATACAGACGAGCGTATACTTGCCGAAACGTTCAATAATACTGAATTCAGTAATTGTTCAGTACGCACCCATGCCTGAAACATCGGTATCCCCCAAAATATCAAATCACTGGGATATCTCTACTGTTAGTTAACAGCTAGTGGTGAATTCAAAATTTGTTGGGACTGGGCATTAATTAGAAAATATTGTGAGATGAAATATATAAAATATGTTACCTATACAGAATGTAAGTAGACAGAGAGCCATTATCATTGGTCGACATCTATGTAAACTAGGCATGAGAACTGATGCCACATACAACAGGAAGGCAACAAAATAACACATTACTGCTAAAATTGAAAATGCTTGGGACACCATTGTAAAATCTGAAGAACAAAAATATAGATAGGTTACAAGACAACGAAACATGGACCCAAATCAGGTAAGCCGTTCCAGCGACCAATAGTAGTTGTCGCGAATACTATATACCGGAAAACACCATTTTATACTGAATACCGGAAAACACCGGAAAAACACTAAATACCGGAAAACATCCTAAATACCGGAAAACACCCTAAATAGGTAACCCGGAGCCTGGTCCTCTGTGTGCGGGTTTGGACCAAGTGAGCTCCGATGAAGGAAGGTCAAGGTCATTACGATGTTCGTTTTACAAATACCCCACCCCACCCCCCCAAAAAAATTTCCGATTTTTTTTGAAAAAAATTTTCTGTCACAAAAAAAAATTCGAATTTTTCCGAAAAATTGGTTTTACAAAAAAACATTCCGTAGAAAATAATTTTACAGAGAAAAATACTGGCAAAAAATTTTGAATTTTTTTTTGAGAGAAATTTAGGAGAAGAAATTGTTAAAAAAAATCTGAAAAGAAATTTTTCTTTGAGCGTAGGCGGTCGCTCGCTTGTATGTTAATGAACTTATTTCATCAGCGCTCACCTGGTCCAAAACCACACACGAGGACCAAACTCCGGGTTACTAAATAGCTACCGGAAAACTTAGAATAGTAAACTGTGCCCGAGATTTTTTTAGAGAGCGCGCCGCGCCGCGCCGCTCCGGGAGGGATCATCGTCAGGGTGGGACGGGGGTGAAATTGTCCAGTCACGTGACGAACATAGATCTTCCGTTCCTCAACCCATATTATTTCCACAGTCATTGTCATTAATCACAAATTACGGGATGATATACGAAAATGCAGGTTTACTTTGAAATAGTGCAAATGGTACTTATCATCTACAATCTTCAGATCAAAGGATGCAAGTTCTTACACAGTGCAGCATAATTTGTGCAAAAGAAGACATCTCGAATATCGATCCGGAAAAATCATTTTCTCGGGGACATTTTTTTCAGAATACGCATTCGGTGTAAGTCTTCAGCCACCAGGAAGTGGTTAAAATAGTAATGTTTTATTACGATAGTAGTACATAAAACAAATTGGTTGGCTGAGATTCTCGGGGTGGGGGGGGGGGAAGTAGCCTCATCGGCTAGAGTCCTCTATTTCACAAACAAAAACAACAATTGCTTCCTTGAAAATTTATCGATCAACCCTTTTCACAGACGTCCAGCTTACCACTTCCCATCAATGCAGTAAGATAGATTATGTTGTTTTCTCATGGACAATTTGGCGAAAGTTGGGGTTTTCTCAAGGAAAACTGGTCAACAAGTTGGGGAAAAAAGCTCGAAAAGTAATCCAGAAAAAAATCCTGTGTGCGGCCCTCGGAATATGATGGAATATGTTGAATATTATTATGGTTCAAGTGATTATATTTGACCCTGGAATGAAAGTAAGCTCAGAAACAAGTATATTTTTAGCCCTTCCAACGAGATGGATAGCTCTTGGAAAGGATAAACACTTTTCAGATTACAGCCTGTCCGAGAATTGCGTGGCATCCATTTCGTTTGGTGATTAGGACACATAGCGGTTAAACCTGGAACTTCAACTCGAACTATTCAGAGATTTATTAACTCGCTTTTGATGATACTTGCTGTTTTATGATGCGATTTTTTGTTACCTAGGGAGGAGTTGGCCTAGTCGTGCCTTCCACTAATTCGTACCACCCTGATGCCACCGTTACTGGTAAGAACCAGGAGATCGGTGCAACCGGCATATAATGGGGCCCTCCGAGGGCAGTGTTTAATCTAATGAAATACTGAAACACTGAAATCTACTGAAATTTACTGAAAACTAAAATTAAAATATAAAATAAAATATGTTCAATGATGGAGGTAGACTGATTGCGTCTTTTATAACATTCAAAACATAATAGGCATCAACAAAATTTTAGAGAAAAAAAATTGGAAATTTTTATTTATTTCTTTTTTTTTTTGGGTGGGGGGGGGGGGCTATTTGTAAAACGAACATCGTAATGATCTTGACCTTCCTTCATCGGCGCTCACTTGGTCCAAAACCGCACACAGAGGACCAGGCTCCGGGTTACCTATTTAGTGTGTTTTCCGGTATTTAGGATGTTTTCCGGTATTTAGTGTTTTTCCGGTGTTTTCCGGTATTCAGTATAAAATGATGTTTTCCGGTTGTTTTCCGGTGTTTTCCTGTGTTTCCGGTGTTTTCCGGTATATAGTATGGCCCTAGTTGTCGCAGGTAATGAAATAATTTACAAAGCAAGTATCTACCAGAAATAATGTAATGCACTTATATCCACGGTGATCACTTAGCTGTTCAAGATGTTAAAAAGCAACACAATTCTACGTGTTTAAATTTCAGTCAGATGAGAAGGATGGGTGGGCAAGCAGACAAGGGTAACAACAACATACAGCCATATTTCAATGTTCGAGTATAAAAACCAACACCAGTCCACATTTTATGTTCTATTTATATATACTCAGCCAAATTAAAAACTTGACACTCGGGATTTTTGGGACTAGATTTTTAATATTTGGTTTAAGGCAACTATTTTAGTGTTATGTTGTTCACAGACGACCTTGACATCAACAGAAAGCAAGAATACGTCTCGCCGAAAGTCCTTGACATTGATAACGTTCGTGATGTCACAGTACCCCCCAAAATGAAATTCACGGAGTAAAGTGTTTAGTAACGGTTGTGGCCTCCTGTAGCGTCTCGTACTGCCACACAACGTTTTCTCATGGATCTCAGAACATTAGTAAACACTATCCGAGGAAGACGTCGCCACTGCTCAGCAAGAGCATGTTGAAGGTCCTGCAACGTCAGTGGTGGATTCACTTGCTGACGAACACGTCGACCCAGTTCGTCCCAGATGTGTTCAATAGGATTAAGGTCGGGGCTAAGCGACGGCCAATCCAGGACTTGGACACCGGCATTAAAAAATTCTGGGTAGCAATTGCTGTATGGGGTCGAGCTTGTTTTGTTGATACGTTAGTCTAGGCCCATGTCTCTGCATAAACGGAAGAAGAACAGGTTGCAAAATCTGATCCCTACACTGGACAGCATTTAAGTTCCCTTGGACAACAACAAGAGGAGAACGTCCATGTGCACAAAAAGAACCCCAAACCATGACGCTGCCGCCACCAAATCGGTCAACTTCTCTGATGCATACTTGAGCGTAACGTTCACCTCGTCTGCGGTACACTCGGGCCCTGCCATCGGCAAATCTCAAAGTGAATCGAGATTCGTCACTAAAGACAACCGAATTCCACTGTCTTTGAGTAAATCTTATGTGTCTTGTGGCCCACACAAGTCGGTTACGGCGATGAAGAGGTGTCAATATTGGTCCATTTTATGGCCTCCGAGCTCGAAGACCAGCAGCCTGCAAGCGATTTCGAACAGTTTGTGCAGTTACCCTTCCACCAAACATATCTCTACTTGTGGAGGTTGCAGTGACAAATCTGTTTCTAAGATGACGTAATCGTATTGCTTGATCTTCCTGGAGTGACGTCACACGTTTGTGCAGTTACCCTTCCACCAAACATCTCTCTACTTGTGGAGGTTGCAGTGACAAATCTGTTTCTAAGATGACGTAATCGTATTGCTTGATCTTCCTGGAGTGACGCTCCCGCCCTTGGGCGGTCGGAAATAGTTCCAGTTTGAAGCACTCTCATTCTAAGATTAATTATTGTCTGGTGTGAACAATTAAAGGCTCTTGCAACAGTGACCTCAGACTGACCAGTATAGAGCCTACCTATAGCACGTAGACGTTCTACATTTGAAAGGCGCGGCATTTTCTAACAAAGATGAAAATAACAATTTTAATTTGTTTTTCCTGTTCAAGTTACGTGTGCGTGTTCAGTTTAAGCAAACTTGCATCGATTGACCTCACGAGTTTGTGTTTGCACGTGTTTTTCAGGTTTTTCATCTTTATATGCTCAAAAGTCACGTGACTTTACAATTTTATGAAATTAAAGGCTTCTTACTACTTACTATCGTTAGAAAAACTTTAAAATTTATTTGATTTACCAGAAAAAAAAATTTGTTGAAATTCATCAGTGTCAAGTTTTTAATTTGGCCCAGTATATTACAATAGCGAGTTTCGTGGATTAGCTGATAGGTAAATTTTCTAAAACAAAAATGTATCGTTACATTATGAAGTAGTACCCTGGTTAAATATACGGGTGTCGTTCACGATGCGTGATATGCTTACTTTTTTTTTCAGAAGACCTGATACTACTTGTTATTAAGCTATCCCGTTAAACAAGATGTGATGTGGCAGGAATTGTCTGTGTTTTTGTTGGACAGTTCGTGGTGAATGTCAATTACACTCGATCCAACTTATGGCCGAGAAAGTTCCTCAAAATATACGCTTAAAAAAAGTAGGGGATATTCAGAAACAATACAAAACTGCGGAAATGCACTGCTGATTTTATTAGAGGTAACCAGTGTATTATGTTAATAACAGGCCAAAACAGAGAAACCTCACCCAGATTCACAAGATCTTTATCAATGAAGCCCTCACTCGTAAACGCGCTGCACTCTACAAAAGATGTCGTGATATGTTTAAATCAAAGCTAATTAAAAACTGTTGGACGTATGATGGTCGAGTTTACATACGACCTCTAGCAGACGACCGAAATATTGTCATAACCTGTGAGCAGGACTTCGATAACTTTCATACATCAACAAACAGAGTAAATTCACAAGCTAATAAGTCTTTGTTTAACTACAACGAAGCTACTTTATCACATTCTGCAATCAACACATCTTCCGACTGTATAGACGATGATAACAGAGTTGGGCCATTAAAACAACAATCCTTACGAGATTTTGGCGGGTTTGCCTCGACCCCACAGCCTGATAAAAAGAAACAATGATGCCTGACAGTATCTTTATATTTTTGAACCAATTTCATTCATCAATATCATTCCCAAACTACTGTACCTTATTGTGTACTGATTTTTCCCGTTTTTCTTAATGTCTACAAATGCATAAATATGTATACGTATT